TTTTTTTTTATCGAGTTCATTTTTTTTTCTATTCTCCTTGCAGTTTCTTTTATAACAAACGGGGAAAATCGGTTATTTTCGGTACGACTTTTGTCGATTTCCGGGTTACCGCCGAATCGTTTTCGATAACAACGGTTTATCGTCGAGCGCGTATATTATAGACCAAATTGTTCTACATCATATTCTCCTCGATTTCCATTCTCGAACAGCGGTCAGCGGCGCACACACGCGTCCAGCAGTGTCGTATCGTTTCTCAAAATTTGTTCGGCTCGCCGACCGTGCGCCTGGAATACGAGTGTAAGGAGAAACGAAATAACAATACAATAATACCGGAACTCATCGAGACACGCGTTTATATATATTTTACGGTAAAGGGACGATACACAGTATAGCGGCGCAATAATAATAAAAATCTCTTGGCAGAGTGTTGCGGTGCGAGCGAATTTACTTAAAACGAACGACGACCATTCTGCGGGACTACCGGGGGCTTACGCTAAATCCTCTCCGTACCTATAAGGCCTTCACTTATTCCGCGAAGCTGTTTCTTTTCCTCGCGCGGCCCCGGGTTATATAGGGACCTCCTATATTATTTCATCCCCTTTGGTTTTTTTTTTTTTTTTTTTTTTTTTTAATGGGTAGGTTTAATTGAAATCGGAGAGACATTAAACAGAGGAAAAAAAAAAAAAACCAAACAAACGCGCACGTTATTGCAGTATACGTTCGCCCGTTCGTCGTCGTCGACTAATGATATTATAACGGAAATTCGAAAGGGTATATATTACTTCGCCGTTGGTAATGGTTCCGCCGCGGCCGGGGTGTTAAACAAAACGGCGCGCGTCACCATTAATTCGTTATTAACGGGGTCGGGCGGCGCCCCGAACGAACGCGGGGGTGGGCGACGGGGCGGGGAGAGGGGCGCGGGGCACAATAATAACAATATAATACGGTTTTGCATAATAACAATCGCGTGAAACAATACGGCAGAAACATTAACCGTCCGGCCGAGAGGACGCGGGAAGGGACTTGACGGCGCGGCGATGATTGATAGAGCGCGTCCGCGCGCGCCCGTTAAACTATTGAACTTTCAAGAGACCGCGATATCGTTTCAACTTTCCCCGTCGTTCGTATAACTCCCGCAACAAACAAGGCGCTTTTGAGCGGTTTTTAAAAAAAAATTTTTTTCCGTTACTTTGAATTGACGAGCTATAATAGTAACGCCAACGACGCGAGATATAACGGTAACGTCAACGAAACGGATTTCGCTCGACAAGTTTTCCGACAAATTCCACGGCTATATTTTTCTTTTAGATTCCGAGCGCAGCGAGTAACGTATCGATTTGATTATGATGTTTGTTTTTTTTTATTGTTCTTTTTTTCTGCGGACAACTTTTTTACCAGTACTTATGTTGCTCCGATTTTTGAAGTGTAGCACTTTTTCTGAAAGCAAATCTTACTGGGGTGATACTTTAAGGAGGTTTATTTTTTGATTTTCCCAGGAGTTTTCCCGATAAATGGGAAAAATCGGGAAAAACACGGGAAACGCTGATAAAACGGGAAAATATAATACCGTTATCAATGGTTTATCGTTGATAACAGGTATAAATTAAATATCTTTATGTATCCCACCTTCCCCACTACCCACCTACAACAGTGGCCGCACCCGTCCCCAGTATCAACTCTTTTTTTAAATTCGTTAACAAGTCATAGGTTTAGAGCCAGTTTGATACGCCGGGCGGGTCATCATTGTATCATCCGAATAATATTTCGCTGCCACGTGGGTGCTTTTTTCAAAAACACTATTGCACATCGAAAATACCAGTATAAAATAAAAACAAATAAATTAAAAATCATTCTGGATTAGTTACACAATAATTTATTGTCGTATATAATAATATATAATACATTATACATCAGATATTTCCAAAGTGACAAACACAACTATTACTATAGCTACTTATGCCGATAATACAGCTGTACTGGTTTCGGACACAGATCCCATACAAGCCTCTATAGCTCTACTGACTGACGTCGATTCAATAAACATTGAGGCGACCCAGTGGCAAATCAAGTAATCAAGTACTTATCTAGACTCTGTCTGGTATAGTCGATTTTTCATCGACTTCCTTGTCTTTCTCATTAAAAGTTATCATTATTGCTTCACAATTATTAGTATGGATACAGAGCGCGCCAAATGTTTAGAGAAACTTATACACACAAAAGATACGTTTTATTGTAATATCTGCAAAAAAACTATACATTTCTTCTGAGCGGGTCTCTCAGAAAGTAATTTTAAAAAAAATTTCTAAGTTGAATAAAGGTAAACACATTTGTAGTGACCACAAACAAATTAATTCAAGTATAGATAATACTCAAGCATCAGTAAAGGTTGAAACGAAACTTGATGAACTTATAAAATCTATCGAATTTATGAGTATGCAATTTGATAATTTTAATATTAAACTCGNCTCGTTTCTTAGTGTAGTAAAAAATTTAAAAATCAAAAATGAAAATAATTATTTACTTAACGAAGTTTCGATTATCAAATTTAAAATTGATCTCACAGAACAATCAAACCTCAATAAAAGCATTGATGTAACAGGTAAACCTCATACTCCCAATAAAAACTGTTCAGAAATTGTGAAAGAAATTGGCTTGAAAACTAACTCAATGATTAACGTCATAGAGGCAAACAGACAATATTTTAACAACAACTCCAATAGTATAATCGTAGCAATTTTGGAAACGATAGAAATGAAAAAAAAATTTAATCCGCAATAGTAAAATTTCTAGAATATCAGCTAATAACATTTGTAGTACTTGGCCGGATAAAAACAAAATATTTATCAATGAACGATTAACAAAGGAAAGACGGTCATTATTTGGAAAAGCAAGAGCATACGGTAAAGAAAAAAATTTCAAATTCGTATGGGTGAAAAACGGGGACATACTCATGAAGAAAGACGAAAAATCCAAAACGCAACACATAAAAAACCAACAAGACCTCGATAAAGCGGAAGTTACAATGCTCAACTCATTTTGTTATTTCAATAAAATCTATGTATATCTTTTTAATCTTAACACAAACAATAATTCTAGTAATCAAAGTTAACAGTTCATACTGTACAGAATTTTCTAATAATAACTAACAAAAATTTTCCCGCTATAATTATACACAATTGTTCCGTAAACTTTAGTAAAAGTCTTTCAACCAAATATGGCCTCGATTAATAATATTAGTGGACTCTTAGACTCTGATAAAACCAATCTAAATTGTATTAATGAAATTAACGAAGGATTATCAAACCATAATAATAGTCTCAATATTCTACACACAAATATTAGAAGTTTAACCAAACGCATAAATGATTTAGAATATTTGAATGCAGCACTAAATGACAAATGCCATCTTATAATCGCTTCAGAAGCATGGATAGATAAAGACTTCAACCCTAAATATTTTTCATTTTGTAAAGGATTCAACATAGAGTATACAAAAAATAACTTTCGTAGATCAGATGGAGTAGTGATTTTTATTAAAAATGATATCACTCATAGTACAACTGAGTTAATAATTCAAGACACTAATTGCTTATTTACAACAATACATTATACTGGTCTTAATTACGGTATACTTTCAATTTACAGATCGCCGAATGGCGATATCAACACATTCATGATGCAATTTAATACTGTAATCACCAATATAATAAATAATCACAAAAATACAACAATTATTATTTCAGGGGATTTAAAAATTAATATTTTAGATACCACCCAAAACACAACAAATTATACAGACATGTTAAACACCTTAAATTTCACATCACACGTAAACATCGCTACACGCCCCAACTCAAATACCTGCCTAGACCATTATTCCGTAATTACACAAATTATACTAACTAATTCACACAAACACAGTGTTAACGCAAATAAGGAATTCCTATAATATTATTAATTATAATACATTGAATAATTTGATCAAAAATATAAACTGGAACCGTAATATAACAGACAAAAACAGTTCTAATTTTAATATTAATTTATTTACGGCTTCCCTACTAAAATTAATAAAACAGTGTAGACCAGGGGTCGGCAACCTTTTTTGACGGAAGAGCCAAAAGTTACAATGTACAAAATTTTCCAGATTTTAAAGAGCCACTAAAAATTTTCTTAAGTATTTAAATATAATTTTATTTTTAAATTTTAATAGACATAATAATAATGAAATTAATTATAATAATATAATAAATTTATGATAAAAAAAAAAAAAAAAAACAGTTTTTAATAATAGGGGAATACATCAATGGGAGCATTGGCTTTGCATGTCTTGGCGTGACGGCGTATGACCAATTAGTTGTAGATAGCGTCGCGATTATATTAGACTCTATAATAAACATTTTACAACTATAGACTGTACTCCATGCGAGCACTGTCAAATTATTTTTGTGATGTATTATTTCATATTTCCTAAAGCAACAAAAATAATATGCTTTTTTTTATATTATAAAATATTGTTTTTGAACAAAAATATTAATTTTTGTGTGTGCAGCTGGAGAGCCGCAACTTTAGACCGAAAGAGTCGCATGTGGCTCGCGAGCCGCAGGTTGCCGACCCCTGGTGTAGACAATAATTACAAGAACAAATAAATTAATAAAAAGAAACAATCCATGGATTCAAACAAGTATAATAAATGCAATTAAAAAAAGGGATAAACTGCATAAACTAACTAAACAAGAACCATTTAATACTAATCTGAAAAATAACCATAAAAAGTAGAGAAATAAATTAACTGAAATTATAGCCAAAGCTAAACATGCTTATTTTGGAGAAAAAATAGCAGTAATAATCCAAAAAAAATATGGTTTATCATTAAACAAGCAACAAACCAAAATGGGTCGAATTCACTAGAAATAAATCTAAAAATAAATAATATAACCTAAGACTCCAGATCAAATGCACCCATAATCTCGAATAAATTGAACGATTACTTTTTAACTATGGGTGATCACAACAATAAAAGGCCTGATAAGAAAATTGAATATAATACCAATAACCCGTCATGTTCGTTATACCTAAGAAAGATTACTAAAACTGAATTATGCAAAATAATAACTGACACGAATAACGATTCAGCTCCAGGTCCAGACGGAATTTCAATTAATGTTATTAAAAAACTAAAAGACTTTATATCTTTCATATTAGAAAAAACCTTTAACCGAATCTTAAAAGAAGGGATTATCCCAGATTCCTTCAAAAATTCATTAATATCGCCCATTTATAAAGGTAAAGGGTCAAAATCCGACTTCATGAATTATAGACCTATAAGTTTATTAAATGCATTTTCCAAAATATTTGAAAAGGCAATCAATGCTAGACTCATTAATTATTTAGAAGAAAACAATTTATTACCCAACTCACAATATGGCTTTAGAAAGGGGTTAGGTACAGAAGACGCTCTAGCAAAATTTAACAAAAGAAATATATGATAATTTAGATAACCATAACAGAACAATCGGTATATTTTTAGATCTTAGTAAAGCTTTTGATAGCATACCTCATTCAAAACTACTAAATTGTATAAAGTCGTTCGGTATTATTGGATCAGCATACTCAATATTTAAATCATATTTAGAAGACAGGACTCAACAGGTTAAAATAGGTAATATCCTTAGTGAAATAGGTATAATCCATAGAGGAGCAAGGCGCAGTCTTATCTCCAATTCTGTATATTATGTACGCATCAGCATTAGATAGACTTTCGTTAAACGGAAAAATCTATTCGTATACTGATGACACTGCAATTATTGTATCTAGTACTAATTGGGAATCTACTTGGAAAAAAAGTGAATCAGATATTGCAGTACTCGGATAACTGGTTTTCTGATAATGATCTTAAGATTAATTTTGATAAATCAATATGTATTGCATTAACTAATGATTCTAGTACGGCACCGAATAAAACTGAATTGATCATACACAATAGACGTTGCAACATTAAAACATGTTCCTGCCAAAAATTATCTAAACACACATCCGTTAAATACCTTGGTATAATAATTGATCAAAATTTAAAATGGAATATTCACATAGAAAATATAATAAATAAATTGAGACAACTAACTTACTTTTTTCCTAACGGCAAAAGAAATACTAAGCAAAAACTACCTTAGAATAACACACTTTGCAATGGTCCAATCATTACTACAATACGGAATAATCGCTTGGGGTGGGTGCAGTACTTCATTAAAATATAATTTAACGATGGCACAATAGAATATAATAAAAATTATCTTAAATAAACCAAAAACTTTCCCCTCAAAAGAGCTATTCAAACTATTTCGAGTACTAGAAATTGATAATATTTATAAAACTAAAGCTTTTACAATTAAAAACAATCCTCATAATCGTAGAAAAAAATATTTGATTGTTACTATACTCTTAATTTTCATTGTATTTCTTATATATCAATATCAAATTGTGGATTTCTTTTTTGGTTTTTTTTCTTTTTTTAATTTTGTCATTTAGATTGTATTCTAATTTAAAAATTTTTTTTTTTGTTATTTATTATATATGTTACTTTTTTTTTTTTTAATGTTTAAAATAACATCTAGATAAGTATTCTTGATCTACGATAAGAGGTTTTACACCTCTATGTAGAGCAAAGGTAGTACACATTTTCTTCTACTAGCAAATAAAAAAACAAAAAAAGTAATAGTATCCAAAACCCACAAAAAAGAGTCGCCATCGTCGAAATTCCAAAGTATAGTTATTCCCACAATCTCACAGGCATGGGCACCGGGTTTTCCAATTTTCATGGGCAATTTTCGGGTGCCTACAAATAGGCGATGATTGTTTTTTACCTATCACCAAAGTATATGCCCGGAAGTGCAAGTTTTCTTAATTTATGCCTAATTGTGGCAAAATTATAAACAATTCTTTTTTATTTTTAACTACGAGTAGTACTAATAACAAATTATATTTTCAAATAAATAAGAAATAGCATTAATTTCGTCCACCCAGAATTTAAACAGTTTAAAATAAAAATAGTATAATAGTACAATAGTCAGTGGCGGCTCGTTTATACGTGCACTACCTACCCAAACTCAAGAAAAATTGAAAACATAAATCATGATAATACAACTAACTACTAAGTACCTGTAGTATTATTAAGATTATTCAGTACAGAAAATACTGCAATGCAATTTTTCAACAATCTCGTTGGAGAAAAAGATGGAAATAAAAAATAAAGGTAGGCCTACTAGAGACTTAAATATTAAACAAATTACTAAATGTAAAACGAGAGAATATGTAAGAAAATTTAANTATGACTGGATTTGTGGTTGTTCAGAAACTAATCGTTTGTATTGTTTTCCCTGTTTACTTTTTGGTCAAAAATTTAATGATGTCGCTTGGGTAAAGAATGGAAATAAGAATAAAAGGTAATTGGTAAATAACTAAAGTTTGTAAACAATTATTTAATACAATTTATAATATATTATGTTTAATATTGGTTATGTTTTTTAATTTTTTTTGGGGGTGTGCACTACTTCATTAAAAACCCACGAGCCGCCACTGACAATAGTTATACATTTCTACATCTTTCAACAAATCTCAAATGTTATCTCAAATGGGTACGAGTGAATCAAGTCATTTTATTTGGAAAAACCAGTGATAATGGTAGTTCAACGGTAGGTTGAACGTATCATAATACCCGTTGACGATAAATTAAACAAAAAGTGATAATCACTGTTGGTAACCACAAAAACACGAAAAGGAATAAAACAAACAGAAAAAACTATAGCTGAAAAAGTACTCGAGTGCATGCCACGGAAAACAACGAAAATGCGGTGATCGGATCGAACAAAAAACGCTTACAGTTCGCAGAAAATACCTAAATAGACAGAGTCATTCGAAAAATATTCGTTGATAAGGTAACGGAAATAGCGCGAGGAATTCAAATACACGTTTTGGAAACTTCTAAACCCGCTAAGGGTCAACATTACTGTAAACGAGTTGACGGCGGCAGAGCAATCGCTCTCGAAAACCCACCTTAATGCGAATCAGAACAACCGTTGATGCACGCATACGAACAGTAATGCACCAGTAACAAACATTAGCTTATGATCGACCGGTGCCGGCTCTGTCCCGCCGCCGATAGCGACAAACGAGTGGCAACGCCGTAAACATTTTCCAACGGTTTCTCTGAACCGGTTCCACCCGGATGGTTTGGACGGTACGGGCGGCGTGCCCGTGAAACTGTCGCTCGAGCCCACGTCAGGCACCACGCTGTCACCGCAATCGAGTTTGCGCAGAGGGGCGTCCCGTAGCCGAACGGCGGGTTCTCGCGCGCGCTTCACGGCGGTTCCGGATTTAATGTCCGCGATCGGTGACGCGGCCGCCATCGAAGATTCAACGGCGCCGCTTAAATCGTCCAAGTCCGCGACCGGAACCGGAGGCGATCCGTCTCGGCTGTCGCCGTACCCGACCGGATCCGTGTATGGCGGCGCCAACACCGAAGGATGCAGTTCGTATAAACTTCCCAAAGTATCACAGACCTTTGTCCAATAGGCCTTTGCGGTCGAGTTTCGGGCTTCCCCAATTAGTCGGCGGGCCTCAGTGGCGGCGATCCATAATGAACAACAGTTTTCGACGTTCACTCTAAACCAGGTCGGTTTCTTTGACAAGTCCGTGAAATGGTCGTTGAATTCCATGGACAGCAAGTCGCCGTTACGCGAACTTATCCAATACGTGTAAGTGGCTAGCTCAACAGCGTCCAATAGGAACCGGCCGTTCTCTCCGGTAGCCACCGACAATACACTGTTCCGAATGTCCATAGTGTTATGGAATAATTATTTTTACGGACGCGAATCGTAGGAAAATTATTAAAAATAATTATCTCGCACAACGGTTGTATAAATTATTTTTACAAAATCGATGAACACTGAATATTATAACAAATTTAATACGAGCGGCCGCCTAGGCAACACATCTGCAATTCATCTACAATATAATATAAGTATAGCCAAAATTATATAATATATTCGAATAGGATTATTTTTTTTTTTCAGATTCTGACTCCCGAGTGTACCGAGGAATGCGTTAATTCTTTTAATTTCATGTTTGTTTCATTTTACTGTCTGCGAATAATTTTACCGGCGTTATAATGTATCATTGGCGAGAGACACGTGCAACGCACAAGAGAAGAGATTGCGGGAGTATCCGAGATTTAGATTGCAAGAAAGGGTTAAGTTAAATGTGGACAAATCGAAGTCCGGTGTGAACCGGAAGAACTTACATTGCAGAGGCGTTAAAAAAGGGAAAGCCGGAGACAATTATGTTGGACGGCGTATTGTTAAAAGCCGAAAGTCATGCTAAAAAAAAAGAGACGTGTACTTACATTACTTTTTTTTTTTTTACGGCGCCACTGCACTGTGTTGTACGATGTGAAGCGACGACAGCAATAATTATCGCCACTGCTGTGGTCGCACATTAAAGTCGGCGTTACGGAAAATTGTGCCTTGCCGGTATATAAGAAGTAGATTAAGAAATTCGCATAGAGGGCGAAACGTAAACGAAAAGAGAAGATAGCGTCGACGAGAAACGGCGTGCGATACATTTGCCCGTTACCGGCTTTAAGGCGATTTTTGAGTAAAAACGACTTCTTCTATTAATCTTTCAGTTCGATCAATGTAATGACGCGATTCGAATGGTGAAAACAGATTTGAGTACCGCGCGGACTCTAGATGAGAACGACGGGTGGCGTTTAAAATTTTTAATTTTAATTGTCATAATATGTATATTTGATACAAATACGAGATTTAAAAAAAAAACACAAAAATGTTTTATCGTTTGTTAACAAACTCAATTTTAAAATGTGACCCGTCTCGTCTCGTTTATACTTCGCGCTGAATCCAAATCTGTTTTCAGAAATCACACCGTTCCGCCGACGGAAAAAAGGCGGTTTTCGACGCATAAATTGCGGGAGTTACAAACGGTGGCAATTATAAATGTCGACTTGGTGCGCGCGTGTGTGTGCGCGTGCGCGCGGGAAAGTCGGTCGCGCCGGTTAACAGTCGCCACTCACGCTGACAACCGTTTTGCGTTTGACGCGATGACACTGCGTAACTCATCAGCAACCGAGCGAATCGCCTACAAACACGACTCCTGCGAAGCGACCGGTATCCAATCATAGTTTTCTTTCGCGTTTCGAACGTTGAACAGTACGTCTCTCGCGAGAAACGGGAATGCATACAATATTGACGACTTCGTGTACGAAAATCCGCGCCGGACGCAATGTTATCCCATTAATAACGGCGCACCGCTGTATCGTGTTTTCAGTATGTACAGTTCGAGTAGTTCGGCATTTCCCCTATCACCCCTCCCCCCTCACGGTTTCTGGACTATCTCGGCCGTACACGGGGAAAAATCTGTATTTCAATCGGTTAAAGGAAACACTCGAAATCGTTTACCGTTTACAATTTCGTTTCGCCCGTTCTTTTATTTCGTTTTTTTTTTCACCTCTAAACCGTAATTGCGTTTTCGGCGTCTACGATCTAAATCTATGCACGCGTAGTATTTCACTGTAAAACGAAATCGGAAAAATGTAATGTTATTGAGGAATAACTATCGGGGTAATACTTACTTACGCCGGGCCAGCCGCATTACGGATGCTTTCGTTTTCCGAAATAACAAATTGTGTATTATTTTGCTGTTCCATAACAATACTGCCAGTACGAACGGTTCTGCAAAACCGGCATCGGCTATAGAAAACAACGTGTCGTTTGTATAGCGCAATAATAATAATATTATTTACGAATAGGAGTAAACCCGCGGCATAAGCCCCGAGAATTTAATAATATTTATTCGATTTTTGCATATAAATGCAAAACCTCGCGTATTGCAATATAGGAAATATACGATTTTTTTTTTCCCCGTTTTATTTATTGTGTACCCATCGTATGGATTTGGATTTATTCCGCGTATCGGAGTCGCCTCGTCTTCGTTGTAATAACACGAGAGAATAGCGGTCTCCGGCCAAAGTGTTTTCGTCTTGTGCAATATATCCTCCGCCATTTTTTTTCTCCTCGTATTTCATACGTATAGGTTGTGCGACGGCAGTAATGATATTACGTCTGTCCGTGTCATTTCTACACACGTCCGTGCGCGCACAATATACTTGCCGCGAACACGCGGTATACAACCGTTTTTTTTTTTTTTTTCCATAACAATACAATGTATCGTACGGGAATCCCGGTCGCCAAGTATATACGAGACTAGGGATTACGTAGGACGTAACAATATCGTCGTTTCTTCGCGGTTCCGATACTGTTATTGTTATCATATCGGGACATATGCGTAATATATTCCTACACCGCGGCATAAAAAGCCGGGCAAGTCGGCCGGATACGTTTTATTTACAAGTTTTAAGTATAATAATACGTTGTTGTGCGTACATAATAGAAGACAAAAAAAAAATCAATAGTAACGACCAGGTCGAGTTAAAGTTGAATTTAAAATGTAAACGAATTTTGAGCGGCCAAAATCGGTTACGCGTTTTCAGGAAAACCGTAACTCCGTAGTTAAGTTAAAAATGAAGTCACTTTTCTTTTTTTTTCTAAAACACCGTGTTACCCCGCCCGTATAACAATTTCACGCATTTCTGTTCAGCCCGAACAATTTTAACCACGTAAAACCCCCGTAAAAATTATAAATGCCTATGTATCTTATTGGTTTTAAGGTGGACATTTGGTTTTTTAACCACAGAGTTATTATTTTTTTTCATGAATCGGCAATTATCTCGGAGGATTTTAAGTGAATGTGAATTATGTATTTTTTTTAAATCGTTGTGTGTCGTTTAAGCTTTATTTTAAAACCATTTTTAATTTCTCACCCCTACTCCATATACCTGAAATAAGTATATAATTTTTTTTTTCAAATAGAAACCCCCCTTTTTGAATAGAGGTTAAATGAAAAGCTGATAACTCTTCCCTACTCCTCCGGTCTAAACGTTAAACTATTATAACTCATATACGGTAAATCTGATATTAGTGTTATGCATATCAATATTTCTAGAAAAATATTCTCTGTTTAAATATATGTTCGAAAATGAGCGTTCTTGTTTGAAAAAAAAAAAAGTATATTCTTTTTTAAGGTGCATAAAGTAGAAGTAAAAATTAAAAATGGACTTAAAATAAAGCTAAACCGATACTACAATGATTACAAAAAAAAAAAAAACTACCTTAGTGGAGTAGGTAATCTTAACTTGAGTTCATGATTGCATAACAAATACTTGTGATAATGATACGGGACTACTGGTAAATATATCAAAAATGAATTTGAATGTTTTTGAATAGGTAAAATTTAATTTTGCCAAAAATTTGAGAAAATTGCCTATACGCTACCCCCTAAATACGGGAGGTGTAATGCGTTCTCATATATCTATACACATCAATAGTGCCCTAAGTGCATTCTGATACGTATAATTTGATAGACTTTTACTATACTTACTTACTTACTTCCAACTCTTAATTCTAGGTGTAATATAACGGATATTTTCTTTGTTTATAAATTAGCCAATGGTAAAATTAATACTCCAGATTTCTAATATAAGTATCCCTTTTAACAGTCCAGCTTACAATAACCGTTCAACTTCTCCGTTTTATATACCAATACACAAATACCTCCCTATTCCGAGGGTGATGGCTTTATGTAATAAAATTCCAACAAATGCCGATTTTTTTTTCTTTTCACCTTTAGCGATAATTCTAAACTTGTACCTAAATATCGATTTGTGTTACCGATTAATACAAAAACTACTATTTATTTGAATTTAGTTTATTATCTTTACATTTTTTTTATTGTACTGTTGAGCTTCTGCACGTTTCATTCTTATTTTGAATAAATTATTATTATTATTTTTATGACTCGTGTGATGGATATACTGCAGGCAGTACGCCCCTCTCGTTATATCGCGATAATGATATTCACGTAAAAAAAGTACGTGTAAATAGAAATACCATATGAGTGTACAGTTTTTTATACAAACAGTTGTCAAGAAATCGCACGAATCTCAATAAAATAACTACGTTACGTCGAAAGTTATCAAAAAGAAAAAAAAAGTAACTTTGCAACAATAGTCGTTCACTGCCCGGCTTCGGTAAAATATAAAAACTATATTTTTATTGGACTAACGAACGTCCTTCGAGGGGGCGAAGAATAAAAATAGACAAAAATACGTTATTTTTTCTGTTTCCGTTAAAAAAAAAAAAAAAAAATACGTATGTATTTTTTCAACACTCGATTTACAATACTTAGGTAAATATATATTTATATGTATGATGTACGTCGAACGACAAAAAATTAGAAAAAAAAAAACCGTCATACATTCATCTAAATATATATATATATACACATGTAACTACACAAAATATAAAATTGTACAATATTTAATAGTAGTTGTATTTTTTATAATTTTATGTTTTTTAATAATAATTTATACACGTAAAATATTGTTATATATACATACACGGGTGGAATATTATTATACGTTTTTATACTATTACACGATATCGGTTAAACGAACGGGAGGAAGAGCTTTGGGGGGGGGAGAGAAGTAAAACGTATACATATAGTTTAGCGTTACAATACATTATTATTACTATGTTATAAATATGTCATTATCATGCTGCGCTGATATCGTCGACTTTAAAAAATGATAATGAAAAAAATAATAACCGGTTAGAAAATATAACGATATTAGTATACGAAAAAAAAAACCACTATAAACAATATATATTAAAAAAAAAAAAATCATCGTACAAGCTTTACAACCGATATTTTATAAACTTAATTATAACTATATTATTATTAACGCAGTCCACATTTTGTCCGCGCGGTTTGCCGTCGTAATAACGTCGTCAAATTAATCGACAAAACTAATATTTGAACGCGGTCTCGCCCCGTCTCGTTATTATTATTTTTCGAATGTACACCGAAATTGAATATAAATTGAAATTGTCCGTCGAAAAGAACGTCGGTTTTTCGAGTCGAGTCGGCCAAGTGATACGCGGCCGAATCTCACGAGAACATTACATACTTAACGCGAATTTTACAGCATTACTCGCGCGTTGTTTTTTCGCCTAAAAATACGTGTACTTGTACCGGCGCTTTTCAAACTAAACAAAAACTCGAAAAAAAAATACTGGTACGCACCAGTGCTTCCCGGACTTTTTTTGATTCTCGGTTCCCTTTTTGAACCAAGGCTTTTTCAGAGGGCCCTTGCAATTCATTGCAATTAAAAACCTATTACGATCGGAGACGTACTTATCCTATTATTTATTCGTGTAACCTAGGTGAATAAAACTGATGTATCAATATTAATTGCCACGAGTTTGTTTTTTTTTTTTTTATTTTTACAAAAAAAGTGTTAGGAATTTAGACATTTTTTTTTTCTAATAAAGTACACTGATTTCAATGTACAGTGTCAATAATTTGGAGCGTTTATACTAGCCGACAAATGTGTTTGAGAAAAATCCAAAAAAAAAAAGGACGCCGGCCACACTAATTTCGCTCTCAATTGGGTTTTAAATTAATTTTTAGATCAATAAATATCCGAAATCACTAGTATATACGATATTATTGGACGCCGCAAACAATGTTATGCGGATACGTTTTTATACATTGTATTGTAATAAACGTTTTGGCCGTCTCGTGAATTCGACGAGAACAACCGAACGTATCGGAGATCGAAATACTCAAGAGGTCACGTAAGCTCCCGTAATTCGACCGCGCAAACCGTTTTGCAAGGGAGGGGGGAACTACTCGGACTATAATGGACTGCGAAAAGGAGAACTCGAAGGGGCACTTTGCGACGGCGGTTTTATTCGTTATAAGATATTACAGAAATACGAACAGAGTTGTGACTGTTTAAAACTGTCCGACGATTCTGTATGGGTTTCAAATTCGAAACACTTTTGCGTCGTAACAATGATACGTCGAAAAATTAAAACCGTCGCGCGGTGCGAGTTCTCTTTGTTTTACGGTAGAAATTTGAAAATTTTCAATGAAAATTTGGTGAAAATTTGGTTTCCTGACCAAGTCCATGGCCCGGACGTGTAGTTTTGGGCCCGCGCGAAACGGGCTTTCGTAAATATTTTCGTTAATTCCACGGGGTTAATACTCGCGATATTGACTGCACGGGACTAAAATGAATTTTAAAGTTAATCGGAACATCAAATATATACGGGAGGTAGTACGCGCGTTTTCTTAATCGTTTTTGTGTCGAGGATCGTTCTCGCGTTAGGTTTTCTTATGCAATTCAATACGGTAGTAGGATGATATAATGACGTCATATTAAAGAAAATGATTATGTACGTATGAATATCGGACATTCGAATTACACAATAATATGTATTATAATATTAGTTAGATACACTATGTGATACGTGCTATCGTACGAACATAGTTTAAAAATTATCGTATTCAAATATTTACAGAAAACCGAAGAAAAAAACAAAAAAAAAAAAAAAAATCGATGATTTACAATACAATAATATATTGGACTAGACGAAAAACATTATGTATGGTTCCTGCGCATTATCGCCGCCGTAATAATCAATATAAATCAATATATTTTTTTTTTTTTTTTTTAAAACAAACCGTAATCGTATGTAATTATTATAATATTATGTACACACTATACAACATTTCCGAACGGACGTCGGCTCGTGAAAGCCGAAATGTATACGCGACGGATTTCCGTCTGCGCGGGACCCGACGATTTTCTCTGCGACTGCATCTCGTAGGATATCGTCGAATCCCGCGCGCGCGCGCCGCGTTGCGTATTGCGATGTTTCACGTCCGGCGGACATTGTCGCGATTAAAATTAACTACATTACGGTAATATTAACGGTTCAATGTACATCGCGGGGAACAACTTGCGAAACGAGCGCGTCCGCGGGTAGTCCTCGGGGAGTTCGGGAAGCCGGCCACTGTGTGTGACGCAACGCGCGTGATTGGCGAGATGAACGAGATGGACAGCGGGAATTGTCGCTACGGACTCGGGGAATGGTCGGACCGGACGAGGCTCGGGTATTCCGAGGATATTCGGCGCGTGTTTCACCCGAACGACGGTCGCGCGAAACATTTCCACCGGACGGGAGTGTCCGGGACGTTGCGGACCGAGAAATACGAGAAACCGGCTCAGGCGCAGACAAATTTAATACGGCGCGTTCGCGTATGCACGCGGTGATTCGGCGCGGTAAATGGTAAAACGGGTGTACTGAAATGGAAACCAAACGGCAAAGGCCCACCGGGCGGTGGGCCAAAACACGAACGTTCGAAAAACCGAATTTGCAGCCGTTTCTGGAAAACCGGATCTAAGAGAGGACACGTTACATACATTAGCGGATGACCGATTTTAATATTCAGCATATGTTGGATAACGCATTGGATTGCGACGCCAACGCGGAAATTCGCGTTGAAATAATTAAGGAGATGTAATTTATGAAATTTTAAAAAAAACGTCGGAAAATCAGAGTTGAAATACAAAATGCTGCGAACCTACGAATGTTCGGTACTATTACACGGATGCGCGATTCGGACTCTGAAAAAAATGAGGCGGCCGCTCTTGAAATGCGGCGTTGAAAGAAAATGCGATGGAAAATACCGCGGAATGGCGAAGTCCTACGAAGACGAAACCCGATTCGATCAAATAAACTCGAGAAGAAGAAGAAGGATGTCGCGGCCACAAAATATCGATTCTTCAACGGACTGCACGGAAAAGCCGGCGGCGGCGGTAGATTTGTTCGGAGCGACGCGAAAAGGGGAAGGCCGGACGACGCGGACAGGCGAAAGTCGGGAAAAGTCCAGGGAAAATCTAACGGCGATCGGGATCCGGGGCGGAAAAGCGTAAACTCGGGGAGCAGATACGCGAACGGCCTTTAAAAACAGGAAAAAGAAAAAAGATTAAAAAAAAAACCCCCTCTCCACGTTTCTGTCCGTTGAAAGACCCGAGTCGGTCCGACCGTTATTATCGTTCGAGTGAAATACGTAGCAATTTGAAAATGTCTCTGATCGAATTACACACAGAAGCCGTTTTTATCGCGATCGGAGGACTTGACGGGCTATATTATAAATATATTAAATATTTTAAAGGTGCCTATATTATAATAGACCGTAATTGTAATACTATATTTACACGACTGACTCGCTTACACAATTAATACATTATTATACTACATACATGTTATATATATATATATATATATATACATACAAACGACGGCGAGCTTAGAGCATCGCGGCGGCGGCGTGCATTTGCGCCAATTCGGCGTGCTGCTTGACCACGAGCCGACCGCCGCCGCCGTTCACCTGCTGCTGCTGCTGCTGCTGCTGCTGATGCTGATGTTGCTGGTGATGGTGCTGCTGCTGCTGCTGCTGCGGGTGATGGTGATGGTGGTGATGATGGTTGCCGTCAACTCGGCGATGGACGTCATCGTCGTCGTCGTCGTCGTCCACCTCTTCGTCGTCATCAACGTCTTCGTCGTCTTCGTCGCCGGCTCCGCCTCCGCCCGCACCGTCGCCGTCGTCCATTTCCTCTTTGAAGTCCAATAGGTCTTCAACGGTGTACCGGACGCTTCCTCCGGTGCGCTCTTCACGTCAGACGGGCGTCCGCGTGCCTTCGCTACCGGAATTTCCGCCGCCGCCGCCGCCGGTACCCTGTCCGCCGACACCGCCGCCGCCATTGCCGCCACCGCCTCCACCGCCGCCGCCGTACTGTTGCTGCTGACACGACGACGACGACGACGACCGGTTGCCGCCGTTGGCCTGCGCCTGCTGCAACGAGCCCGGCGAGCCGACCGGCTGGTACCCGCCGAACCCGGACGCGTGCTGCTTGGCTTTGAGCCGGAGACTGGCGATGCTGCTGGACATGACGTTGCACGGCTCGGCAGGCCGGTGATGGTACACCGAGTACGGCGTCGTGGGCGGGCAGTACGGCGGTCCGTTTTGCGGCGCGGGCGTCGGCAACATCGATCCGGCCGCCGAAGTGGCCGCGTTGAAACAATTCACCGGCGCCTGGTGATGATGGTGGTTAACCGTTCCCAACGGGTTCACCGACCACGGGAAAGTCTTCGATCCCAACGGGCTCGGCACCTGCGCGCAGAAAAAAAAAAAAAAGCATTTCGATCAGCATCGTGGCAGAGGTTAATCATTTCGATGGCGTTTTGTTAAAGGGCGCATAATACTACTGACCATCGAAAAATACGGTTTTTGTGTCGAAAAACAAAAACCCCACGATCCCCCTCCCCCGTGAGTGTGCCCGTGATTCCCGGTCTGTTCATTTACGTGTCTATGATATTGACAATGGGGAATAGTTTTTCCACGACCGAATGGTACGAATCAACCAGCGCAAATAATAAGAGTGCGATAGGTGCGCGAGTCGCTGATAAGACTATCGATAACCATTCGACTATCGCATAGTTGAAATTGACCATAGTTCAGCGGTCAACAGCTATCGGACAGCTCGACAGTGACTGCTCGGTAGTGTCCATCATTATAGTTATTATAACGCGACAACGTCATATTTCTGTATTTATTTATTTATTTATTCAGACGGACGGTGGTCCGGACGATTATAACGGGAATTAGTTTAGCATGCAATTATTAAGCAATTACGGTTCAGATAGCCGAAGAAAGTGAACCGTTGAAATATATGTTAAAAAGATTAACACACAGAAAAAGATCAACAGCCACTAAGAGTCGACCAATAAATGTTTGCATTAAGTAATTTGAAAATGAAACAGATGTCTGTGAGCTTTGTTCGTCTTGTTTCTAAAGATTCGAGGTTTAAAAAAAAATTTACCGATGGCCGGTAAGAGGACCGAGGACCGTCGTATAAAACCACATCAAAAAAAAAAAACGTTATAAAATAACGTATAATTATGTCACGTGTTATTTTTCACACCTGATGGCAAGTCGAAATCTCTTACCTTGGTCGCCCAATTGTTGTACGACGTGTACGCGGTACTGTATAGAGAGTCGGTGTCGGTGAACGGCTGCATGAGTCCGTTGAATTGCGTTCCGAATCCGTTTTTGAAGTCCACGGCGGCCGCAGCGGCGGCGTTCATGGCGTTCCTCTCGCGTTTCCGCCACTTGGCCCTCCGGTTTTTGAACCATACCTGTATCATGACACGATATCATCGTTTTAACGCGGTTTTCGTAAATATTATTATAAATTATCGTAGGTTCTATCTTTCGTTTTCCACGGGTATTCCGGTTTTTGTACCGATTAAAGTCATATAACGTAACGCGTATAGCTATGGACGAAACTAACCAATATATACGGGGCCCCGGGTCGAACGATTCTGTTTTGTAATGTTCGCTAATGCGCAATATTATTAAAATTTGTTTATAGTGGAAGACGAAAATTACAAATTATGCCCGACATTCACGGTTATCACTCAGAGAAGTATAGCTAGGCCGTTTTCCAATCTAGGAGGCCAAAAGTTATGACCGCCCAACTCGAGTCTAAAAATGCCACACAAGGAGACGTAAATAACAATAAGTCTATAATAAGAAACCAAGGATATTAAATATTCTTCGTACTCGACATTATTGGTCATTGTACACAACTCCGGGTCAGTGATTACAATGATCGTTTTAGACTCTGAACGGAGCGAGGAATGATTGGTTTTACAATGATGTTTATTTTTTTTTTCTCTGAACAACTTTTTTACTCGTAATTTCGCTCCGATTTCCAAGTGTAACAACTTTTCTGAAAGGAAATTTAACTGGAGTGGTACTTAAGGAAGGTCATCTTTTGATTTTTCCCAATAAATGGGGGAAAAGCGTAGGGAAAACGGGAAAATTCGCGAAATGTATTGTTTTAAAATCGTAAATATTATACAGCCTCAAAACATGTATAACCGGACTCAGAATCGTTTTTCGCTAGCAAAAATTAATCGTTGCGCACATTGAATTCCCATTTATATCGCACCTTCCCGACTTCTCGCCTACAACAGTGGCCCGACCATCCGCGCGAAGCATGTCCGTATCATTTTTAAACCGTAACACGCGCACGGCTATCCGGACGAATCGGTTATTATTTTATCGCCGCGGCCGTTTAGTCGTCCCGCATGACGTCCGACGCTCGTCGTACTCTAAGCGTCGCGCGGGGACATTAAAATATTAGATTTCGCTTAGCGTACGGTCGTCGTGCACGCACAATAATAATGTTATAAAGATAATATATTATACACACGCGGTCTCGCGGACGTGTGCATTATATTATATTTTACGGAGCTTTTCGCACGGCAATAATATAAACGAGGTGATATACACGCGTTCGGTCAGGTGGTAGGGGTAGGTAGGGGGAAAGGGGCGGAGCGAAAACGGAAAGAAGAAAAGAAAAAAAAAAAATGTCGCGGCGGCGTGTATAATTCGAGGCGCGAGGGCGGAAATATAATAATACCGCTCCGGACGGCGGCGGCGGCGGTATCGGAAGCGTCCGGGAGTCCCGTGTACGGCGCGCCGCTATTGTATCCGCGGGCCGCGGCCTTTGGAAATCTTTAAACGTTCCCGGGGCCGACGCGGGAGCCGGTCGCGGTTCTTCCGCCATCCCCCCCCCGCCGGTCGCACCACGCCGACGGCGGCGCGTCATTAATCTTGAGCGTGATGGGCCGGCCATAACGCGAATACCGCCGCCACCGCCACTGCACCGGTGCAGGACGCGAACCGCAGAGCGGCGGCCACGCAGCGGCGGCGACGGTAAATAACGAGCTCCCGACGGGCGCACCGGGCGTTGTCAGCATCAATCAGAAAGCTCGTTAATCTTTATTACCCCTCTCTAACTCTCTATCTCTCCGCCGCGCCGTCGTCGTCCCCTTCCCCTACATTCCGCGAGAGAGCATACGCGTAAAACCCGCAAAATGATGACGACGATGCGCGCCCGTGCAATACATAATACATAATGCACTGTAGCGCGTGCCTAATACAATATGAAATTGCGAAAAACCGTTTTCCTTGTAACCGCGGAAATCCGAAAACGTGCGTATTTATTATACCGCGCACGGTTCGCGGGACGTGCAGGTGACTCGTTTCGTTCGACGACTTTTTCCAGAAACAAAGAAAAAATCGACTCGGAGTCCTCGCCAATTATTATTCTGCTCTACAAATAACATGTGCAGTCACAGTTTGAATATTCCAAGTGACGCAATTGTTATACTAGGGCGGAGAATTTGTAGATGACTGCATTTTTTTTTTTTTTAGCTTATTGTAAAACTTAGTTAGCGTAACGTAGTTTGAATCTTGTACAGCAATGCAAAATTATATTTGTGAAATTTTCATTTCGCATTTTTTTAAATTTTAAATTCGTCTGAGTACTTTTTGTATTCTGTTTCGCGCCATTTTCATCCAGATTTACGTATTTTTTTATTTTTTTCAATTTTCGCGGCCTGTCGTATTTATATTCGATATATCAACGACGCTTGATGTGTCACGGAGACAGGGCTAAACGGCAGTGAATTTCCGGAGTAACGTTCCGCGGCATTTTTAGGGATTTAAACGGGGCTCGTGAGCCCTGGTAATAATTAATACGCCAAGGCGACCGCCGGCGTTACGACCCGAATGAAATCGCGCCGCCTTTTTTTTTTTTCACAATATAACAAACTGCGGACAATAACAATAACAACAATAACAGCATACAGTGCGGGCCGTTTCGGCGGCGGGCGCGGCGCCCGTATACTGCAGCGCGCCCCGGTAGAAAAACACCCCCTCCTCCCTCTCCTCGCGCCGCCGGATTACACGAGCCGTTGTTAATCGATCAGCGCGCGGCGGCACTGGCTTACGCGCGCGTAATTTATATACGCATGTGCGTTCATACGCGCGCGCGTAATTTATACGTAGGTATACGTATACGTGTGTGTGCGCGCGCGCACGCGTGTGTGTGCACACGTATCTCGCGGCGTTCCGCGCATATGCGAGGGGGTGTTCGCTGCCGCCGCCGCCGCCGGTCCCTCTCCGCCCGGCCGCAGCGGCGAAAGAATCAATTTATGACCTGACGAGATTTTAAAACCGACCGCCGCCGCACACCTCTCCCTGCCGCTATCCACGGCCCCCGAAACCGTTTTTCCGATATTTTATTTCCTATACATATGTACAATAATAATAATATATTATACAAGCCGCCGCTATTGCCGTCCTGCGACGCCACGTGCCGGCGTTCACGCCGCACACGCGCGCATTATACCGCACACCGTTATTCGTACACAACGCATTATAATAAAATATTAAAATATTATTTTCGCGCGTACCATAATACGTGTACATTGCGACCATTTCATTCCGCGGGCGCGTTAATACGCGTTAAATCCGGTTAAATTAACACGCCGCGCGGGGGTACGCGAACGGTGCGATAACGACGGCGACACGCCACTGTTATCGTACGCGGTAAAATAATACCCGTCTGATATTTTATAACCGTTGGTCGCCGCGGAACCCTGGCGCGGTCGCGCCGTTACTGCGATATTATATACCGACTCGCGTAATCCGGCGTAATGAGAAATCGGTCGGCGCGGTTACGGGATACACGAGCAACAATGTAGCGCGCGTACACCGCGAAACGACAGTAACAACGTAATACGATTCGACGTCCATAGTCTTCTCTGCGAATGTTATTCGCACGAGGTGCGATCGAAAAGAGCGCCGGGACTGTTTGAATCGCACGCCGGCTGAGCCGGACACGTAGCCGGAGGACGGGGAGGGGTCCACGGGTTCCACATGAATTCAAAATAAGAACTTTATTTTTAATGGAGTTTGAGTGGATTTGTCCTCGACAGAATTTTAGTTGACAGAAAAATGCATCATTCCACGTGACTCGCTCCGAAAAGTTGCAACTAAAAAACCGCAAACACGCCGAGCGACTGCAAAGCTTGTCCCGAAAATGCTTAGGAAAACCCGAAAGGGCGACCGAGATTGAGGTGGTAGGATAAAGTGAAAAAAAAGACTATGAAAACCTAGAACCTGGAGCTGATCGGAGAACGGCTGCAATGAACAGTGAGCAGTGGAGCGAGGATTGTGTTTGTTGGAACGGACCTATAAATTGGCCGTGTACCAGACGAAAAATAAGAGTATGCCATCGTTATTATTATATTTAGATTCCGAGTAGATGTTTAGCGAAGATGTGAGATTTTTTCTAAGCGTTATAATAGTTCGAATTTTTATGAAAATCGTAAAAATTACGGCACATTTCAAAAGGTGTTCGCTTGGAATCGTTTTTGGGTAACAATGGTTTATCGTTTCGTATACTGATATAAATTGAACTCCACTACACGTTCTGTTTTTAACCCAACTTCAGTGATACACCCACTAGTAGTATTGCTCCTTTTTTTTTTTTTGATATCTAAATTCCTTAAGTTACACAGGAAAAAACTACTTTAATTAGTTAAACCAGTCAAGTGAGTTTACTAAGAATTTTTTTTTTTATCACGATTGCACTAAGAACAATAGCGATACGCAAAATTTATCACGCGCATTTAAAAGCTTGTGTGTGAAATCGTGTAAGTACTACAAGTCCATAAAAAGGTTTTAAATGCTTTTTTTTGTCTTTGTTTTTTAGTTTTGTTTTTTTTTTCGTGTTCGTTACAAAGATTTAATATTGTTTCGATACCAACTATATATAATCGAACGGGAATCCGTGTTTAATAGTATAATTTTATAGTAATCGTGGGGTGCCGAAATCGATATATTATATCAAATGGGATTTCTGCGTGCAATAAAACAACGGTTACTGCAGCAGCCGTATAAAATATACGCGCGCCGGTCGTACACCGATAAAGGGGGTTTGTCCCCGCGTTTTATTGTGTTTCTTAAGCGTATGATCCCTGTCGGTGTGGGGGGTCAATTTAGGGGGCGGCCGTGGCGGCGTTCGGTGAATACCAATAAAAGCGGCTTCCCGCCGAGGAAATGTGTGTATATCTATATGTATATATATACAAGGAGAGAGAGAGAGAGAGTGAGAGAGAGAGTGAGAGAGAGAGAGAGAGTGAGAGAGTGAAAACACCGAATCCGACTTAATTGAACTTGTCCGCGACCATAAGCGAAGTCATTCGTCAAAACCGAAGTTAGCTCGTTTTGCAGGCGGAACCCCAGGCCACGCGACCTTCGCAGCTATTCTAATCCGAGATGAGCTCCCGCCGCCTCCGACCGTGCGGTAATCCTGTGTGTGTGCTTTGATTACGGCGCGCACATAACAGACGATTTCCCCTTTTGTGTCCACTCCGCGGCCCTTATTACGTCGCATCTCGAGTATCTCACGGAAGCGAAAAGAAAAAAAAAATTTGCCGCCCGCCGGCGTATGTATCAGGGGTGTCGGGTAGTTTATCGAGGGCGGCGTCGGATGGGGGTGGGGACAGGGGTATGTTATTGGTTTTTGTTTCCGTCCGTTTATTCCCCGGAGTGTGAAATTATTATGACCAGACAAATATTGGTTTTTGTTTTTGGGTTTCTTTTTTTTATCTCCCGATTCGATTTCAAATTGATAAACTCGGAGCTGATTCGGTTTATAATCGTCGCCGCGTAACTCTATACCGCGTCAAAGGAATAAATTCGTAATAGTAATAATATGTTATTCCGACGGCGCATATTATATTATGTATAAAGGTCAAAGGGGTCTTTCGAATTACGCGTTTCAGTTTTGAGAGTTTATACAGGAGCAACTTTGATCGATAAAATATATTTTATCTCAATAATTACAACACGGTATACACTATACTATAATACACGACAATAAAAAGCCGATTAAAGAAAAAAGACAGACATACTTCGGACGTGGGTGTAGCTACAGTTGTATGTGGGAAGCTGGAAAGGTAGGATACAGATGGGAATTCAATTTATATCTGTAAGCAACGATTAACCATCGCTGACGAAAAAACGATTCTGAGCTGAGTTCAGTTGATAGTGTTGCTTTGTTAACAATATGTATGTCATAGTATAGTAAAATAATTATATACGCATCATATATTTTCTTTAGTATTATTTGTTTAATATTGTACTTTTTTTCCTGGTTTTCTCGATTTATTGGGAAAATTCCTGGAAAAATCAAAAAATGACCTCCTTAAAGTACTACCTCAGTCAGATTTTTTTTATCAGAAAAAGTGCTTTCATTGTGAATCGGAGCAAAATTGCTGGTAGAAAAGATGTCCAAAAATAAAAAAAATACATCATTGTAAAACCAATACATTCCTCGCGCTGCTCAGAATCTAAAATATATTTTTTTTAACGAATTTAAAATATACATTAGTATTCTGTAGTACTTATATCTTATTTTCATGTGATTATATTTTCACTAATAATTTTGTTTTCGCGTAAAACAATAAACAAATTTCTTTGGCAGTTTTAAAGTGACGCGCGTTTTGGATTTTTGGAAAACTGAAAACAAATGTTATTTTCTAACCTACATGCTACGAATGAAAAGTCGCTTGAATAAAAAAGTATGACCGTCCAAAATTAGTGTAAAAATAAGGTGTTTTTATACAAAAATGGTCACTTGTATTGTACACTTGCGCACCAGAAGATTTAGAAAATTCATCTTCAAAAAAACAGTATTTCAGTACGCCTTATCATCTACCAAAAACTGAATTTAAACCCATAGTTATTCGACTGAATTTTTTAGCATTTCCTACAAGAAAATACAATATACAGGCTGTCCCACGAAGATTTACCGCTTGAATATCTCAGAAGATAATAAAGATAATCAAATTCTGATTTTTTTTTTATTACTCACAGATATTTATTTTTGAAATAAATTTTTTTTTAGCAAAAAAAATTAACTTTTTGTTTTATTATTTTTTGGTCTAGATAGTATAAGTGTATGCATATTCTAACCCATAATTTTACACTTATAATATATAATTATAATACGATTTAAGCCACTAAGAACGCTGCGTGTACTTAGGTTAGGTATTTTAGCAATTTTTAAAAATGTAATTTGCTCGTATTTGAAAACTATATAAAATTAATTATACATATTAATTCAAATTCTAAGCATTAATTATTAAAAACGAATACTCCTATTTCTTCCCCCTCCCCATTTTATTTATTTCTTGGGCTAACCAATTGAATTGGGGAAACGTAGTCGTTTATCTTGCAATGTGTGGAAAAATAATACAATACTATTTGAAATTTTAAGAGCTATTGACGAAAACGACTCTTGTGTAGTGGGGTAAGTAATAATGCAGTATATAATATTTTATAACACGCAAAATATAAAAAAAAAAAAATACATTAGTCACGGATTATTTTTTTCATTTTAGTACCTATCAAAAATATTTTAGATTAAAAAAAAAGTATCGACAAATAAATTCAAAACGTTTTAACATCATATTCATCTTGTTTTAGATGTTCTTATACTGACGAGAACCTATTTATAGTGTTATTTGCGAAAATACTCGCGTGTGGCATTTACGAATCTAAGGTTCTCTTTTATTTATACATTTTTAATTTCCATCTGAAATGAACGGTTTTGCTTTTCGGAACGTGAACAAAATGGCGTTTTGGGTTATAAATCACGTCAAGTGAAGGTGGCCCGCGTTCTTATACCATCACATAAATCTTTTCTTTTCTCGCAAACGTTATTTTATTCATTTTTTTTTTATTTTACTAAACCACTCGGAAATTTTCTTCCCTTGCTTATTTTTTTTTTTTTTTTATGTTTCGTAGACTAAAATACAATGAATCATTATAATAAAAGAAATTATATATAATATTTATACATTATACATACATACAGAATCACGTATATTAAAAAAAAAATATTGCCTAATATTATAATATACATTTTTTATGATTAAATTCACAAACAATTTTATAGCTTTATCAAGTACCAGTATAAATAAGATAAGTACCTACATGAAACTGGTGTGTGTTTGTAGATATAGAAAATAACAAGTGGTACCCGCGTTAGTATTTACCAAGTTGTAAAACACGACACTAGAACACGTTTTTTTTTTTCACTATTTGTCATCGTATCTGCCCTCTTATTTAACAGATAACAACAAAACGACTACAAGCCGTCGGCGTGTTGACTCTTTTGTTAAAAACGACCGACTGATTAGAGTATTTATTGAGTGGGTTTTTTTTTTTTTCTAGAACGCGGTCAAAAAATGTCCAATATTTGTGTTTGTTACACACACAAAAGGGTTATACACATGTGCGGTTAAATGGTTTTGTGTTTTTTTTGTTCCGTATTTAAAAAATAAAATAAAAGAAATATATAATATTTTTCAAAAACAAGTATTTTAGGTACCATATACATTATATTTAAATATATTATAACATTGTTGTTAATCAATTTATCGAGTTTTCATGTGTTTTCAATTAATATAATATTATTTTGGTTTATTAATATACGTAATTTTTTATATTGTTATTTATTAGGACTGTATAACTTTATATTAAGTACCTAAATAATCCAAAATAAGACACTTATAGATTATAATATAGGTACTACATAGAATATTATATTTGACTTGTACTAAAATAGATATAATATAGTTATTATATCTATTTTATTTGAAAGAAATAAATAGAAGGTCATATATCGAAAGAGTAAGACCAAGCACGGATTACGTGAAATAAATCACGATTGAAATAATGATTAAGAATATCTAAGGAGTTAAAGGAATTAGGTTACGAATGAGTAGTGTGGCAAACATGCAGAAAACCAATCAAATGATCAAAGACGAGAACAGAGTTAAGTTATTAATTTTTTTTTTTTTTTAAATTTAAGCCTATACAATTTATAAGTTATTGAAGTTAACAGAACAGCCGGAAACTATTTTAATAACATTGTAAAATTTTCAGGAGCTCAAAATTTAAAATGATACATTATTGATTACTTACACATATTTATTGCTGCTTAAAAACTATCAGCAGTTTTCTCAGCTTAAAAAATCATTATCATAATGTGACAAATATATCCGCGCACAGTTCTATACCTACTCGTATTAATAAAACCGGCATGAGCAATTGGTCTATATTATATTTCTTCATATTGATTACACCTATGTAATATAGGCACCATAAAAGAAATTAAAATACTCCAAAAAAAATAATACCTAAATTTGTTTAATAAATCGTAGGATATAATTAAACCGGTCGTTGCATATATCGCACACACTCATCGTTGGACAATAACCGCATGATTATAATATATTATGTGTCTGAGATTTACAAAAAAAAAATTAATCGACCAATTATACACCTATATCTGGAGTACCTACTTGCAATTATAATCTATATCGGACCCGGGATGAATTAATAATGTACGATGTGATGCGTGCGACCAATCGAAAGAATTAAAAAATCGACCAACTATAATTCCATAGCTAAACAAACAGACAGTATCAGACAAGATAACCGATAACACACTGTGACGTTATTTTCCCGTCGTATTCAATTTTTCGACATCACGACGATATTATCGATCTACTGGCTAGTTTACGATCATAGTTTATTTTTCCATGAAATAATTCTTTGTACCATGATTTACAAGACGTTAGATTCGGTGCATACTGTTCTCATCATAAACAATAAAGGATTAAGGAATGGATAGGACATGCATACTAATCTCAACAGAAGCTTGATTTCCGGGATGGCCGCCACAATAATGCCCATTATCAAGCAAATTATTACAGTGCGTGAGTTTCTAGGGATTACGTGATTAATATTCCCTAAAATCATACAATAGATTAATCTATTCTGCGCCACAATCATAATACTTCAATCACAATTTATTTCAAATTACTACGGTAAAATGTCAATTCTAAACGGATGAAACACAAAATATTAGTGTCATGGAAAGGAAAAATAAATGTCCTTTACTACATTATTTTATCCATTATTTTATTTTGGTTCTCGTTGACAAGCAAATATTTGAATTCAGTGTCCAAAATATGTGACGATCGCCTCTTAAATCTACAGAAACTAAGGGATAGGAGATACAATAATATCATTTAACAATTTTCAAGCAGTGTAAAGTATTCGTTTCTGCATAATGGTGGAAAGCGAGAGATAGAGCTTTCGTCGGTTCGCGGTTTTTCGGGAAAAATGAAATAATATTTAATCGCCCAAAACTCGACGGCGGTGGGTATCCGTTAAAACGTGTTAAAAAGCCATATTTATGTCCTCTGCTGCTCGGGCTTATATTATTACGTATATCTGCGCGTATAAATATATACGGGTCGTATAAAAACAATAATCTCTGTTGAAGTCCGACCCGCTCGCTGTGTAATATTTATATGTATATCAACCGAAAACACAAAATGGCGGATGAAAAATCCGGATTGTCAACCTTCCCCTTGCCTCCCACACCTCCCGGTCCACCGTCGCGCCCCGCCAAAGGGAAAACATGCGAGCTTATAATACACACTGCAGAACATTATTTTACACACGGCGCGCGCGCCGACGGGTATTTTAATTCCTAATTTTCCGTATATTATTATAAATATTATAAATCGACGAATCACGACGAATCGCGTTTGGCGGCAGCTAGAGGACGATTTTTGTAAACGAATGACGAAAAAAAACATTAAATTTAAAATTAAAAGCGTCAAATGCCTATAAATAGTTCGAAAATCGACAGAATAATTTAGCGTCTAGAAAAATAAGTATTCTGCAAACATTTACAAACTCTATGGTTATATTTTTAGTGAAATTACAACAAAAAAACAATATCTGTAACAACGAAAACCGTTGTTGTTTAAATTTTCTCTCGTTTTTCCTTCATTTCCCCCCCCCCCCGATTATTTTATAAAAAGACACTTAAAATTCGAAGCAAGATTTCCAGTAGAAAAATGATTTACGGATGAACACAAACATACACACACACACACAGTATAATAAATAAAAACCATACAGTAATACGCGCTCAGGATTAAAAAAAAAAATTCTAACGAAGACGAGTAAAGACCGTTAAAACGGAATTATTACTTTTACCGTGAAATTGTATGTATTATCGGAATTGCCGTTAAAATTTCCATCTATACAAATGTCGCGCCTATCAACAGTAATTACGCTCTGTAATCAATTTAAAACAGGTATAAACCGCGGATACCGCGGTAAATACTCGCGTATAATTTAAATATAATGTAATATTATACGGATACGTGCTCACCGCATTAGTGATACAAAACGTCAATATATATATATATATATATATATATTATAATATCGCCGTTATCATCGAGTGTTGCAGATTTTAATATTTATACGGAGATTAATTTCGAGCCGTCGACGGCGGTTAATAGGCATTGTAGTGTAATATGGAGGTTGTAATTTATAATAATCCTGATCACGGATCAATAAACCGTAACACGAGTAGTTGCGCGTTATTAGTGTTATTATTATTATTATTGTTGTTGGCGATTTAGACAAGCCGGTTGATAATATTCCGTATGCAACATAGGCACCTATAATATTATGTAAATTGTATTATTATGATGGTTGTAAATAAATTGAAAATCCGCAACATTTAACTACAGACGGATATTTTTGTTTTTATGCAGTTATGTAACAATCAAAATATTGCATTGTTAAAATATCAACAACAAAAGCGGAGCACCGTCACTAGAGTAAAATTTCACCACTTCTCCCCCTAAAAATCCTTTAATATTTATAATAGAAATATTCGTTGTAAAATAAATAATTGATCGATTACTATTATAATAGTAACTATACTTAACAATCTGCTAATTACAGAAAAATTGTAAAATTTAAATATACAAATGTGATTGAAACTCCCAAGAGAAATATCTTTGACAGTAACGCAAGTCAAAATTTCATTCCCTTAGCTTGATTATTCGGGCGGGGCGTGTATAAAGTCTAAAAAATTCTTACAACGATATGTTTGCAGAAGTTCATATTGAAATTAAATTCGGCTTTTACAACTTTAATTTATTCTAGGTAAATTTAAATTGAAAGTATATTATTCTTTAACTAGAAAATATTTTTACATTTTTCGTGATTTTTAGGAGTTTACATAAAGTTTTTTTTTTTAGTAAAACACATTTAATTATTACAATTATATTTTATATGTTTGGCTCTTATGTTTGATTTTTACAACTCGCGCATTATTCCGCGTCCCACAGCCGGGACATGGTAAACACGATAAAATACCGACGGCCGGGGAAACGCCGACCGAAAAACTGACAACGTTCGGACACGCCAGATTTAAACGCACATAGTGTACATCAGTATTAATATAAACCGAAAAGGATTATCCCTGTAGCGACCCCCTCGCTCCCCGTCAGCGCGGGTGACTTTGTCCGCGGGTTTTTATTTTATTTTTATTTTTTTTTGTCAATCGGTTACTCATTTTATTCTGCGTTTACCTCCCTCGGCCTCTGCCACCACAAAAGGGACAATCCCCGGGATTGTTAGGGATCCGAAAACGTTGACGCACTGAGCCCTGTGCAAATCCAATAACTGCAGTCGGATGACGATGATAAAAATAATCATTTACGTTGATGTTAAAGAGAAAGTTAAAATAAAATGAAAACAAATAATCATAAAACCCCCGGTCGACTTTTCAACATTCAATTTCGGTTAAATTTATTAATATATATATATGTATTTTTCTTTTTTTTAATATTATTTTCTACTCACCCTGACTCTGGCCTCGGTGAGATTCGTCCACATGGCTATTTCTTCTCTAGTACTCATGTCCGGATATCGGTTCCTGGTGAACGTGGCCTCCAGTTCCTGGAGCTGCTGCGACGTGAAATGCGTCCGCTGTCTCCTCTGTCTTTTGGTGTTTTTATTGTTTTTGATATTGGCGTCTTTAACGTCTTCGGCGACCACCCCGACTCCCGGGTCAATGCCCTCGGTTTTTATACCAGTGACGCCGATCGTGTCCGTTCGTCCTGCGGAAAATACGCGCGACGTTCGATTATCAATACATACATTATATTAATTATAACTGAAAATTTAGATATTTTTAAAATTGTGCGCATTCCTCTAGATTTGTATACAAGTATATTATTAGGTACCTTTAAAATATGGTTAAAACCCACCTTTTCTGTCGCGGTTTCTACTTCTTGATGAACCAAAATTAAGCTGTGCCGTATGGTCCGCGGAAAGGCCGTGATGGTGGTGATTGTTGTCACGAAAGTCTCCCGTCTCTGCCCACACTGGAATCATAATAATATTTAAACTCTATAAAAACTGTAGGTAGGCTGCAAGTGAGCAGAGTATAGTATGTGTAACACTCTAGCCGTCCCAATAACAAATTATTTACTATAATATTATGATACGACAGAATAGTCAAACAGAACTGTAAGTATATTATTATGTGTTTTGAAAACGATGCAGCCGGTTATCGATTGTACGCGACTGATAATAATGTATACTCGGATACTCCCAATATTCCTACGAGTGCTTGTTTGCGTTTCTTTATATGAAGCGCCTAATTTATTAATGCGTGAAACACTATTATACACCTACTATATATTATTATTATTATTATTATTATTATAGTTATCGAACACTACGACGACGATATTCTTCTTGTATATCATAATTTTTTGACCCACTTCAATGCGCGTACAATATATTATATTATTCTCTAATCTCGTAGACATCAAACATCATTCATATAAATATTAAAAAAAAAAGTTGTCAAAAGATGACATGTTTATCAAAAGAGTAATATTTTACAAGCACCGGGTTTATTTACATATGCAACAACATTTGCTCGCTGTGTCGTACTTATTTTATTATTATACATACCTACCTACGTATACATATGATGTTATTCGTTTTTTATTTTGTTCATAATAAAACGCAGTTATCGTAGTATAACGCTACTATATCTAAAATGCATTTTTATATTTTCTGTATACCGTGGTCGTAAAACTGCGTTATTATTGCACGACAGTGTTAATGAAGTTAATCACGAAATAGTATATTACAATACTCCTCCCGAAAATTATAAATACGGCCATAAGTAAAAAACGTTTATCGTTTCGTTCAATATTTAAAAAAAATTAACTATGTGGAATTTTCAAACCGCTACAGAATATATATTGAGTATGCTAGAATCAATACTCACATTTTTCAAAAAACGAAAAATTGGAAAAACGTTTTCCTACATGAAAAAGAAATTCAAAACTGCTAACAAAAGTTAATATTTTAATGGTTATTTATATGTTTGAAGTTTAGAACATGTAAGTTTTGATAGTGGTTGAAATGAAATATGTAAGTTTTCATATATTATGAATCATGTGATTTTTGACAAGAGTTAGTAGTTAGGTGCAGTATCAAAACTTACATGATTCAACGGAACTTGTTTGTTACGACACAAATCGCTACTTTCCAGTTAAATTTAAACCCGCTGTGCATTTTGAAACGTTTCTGATTATATAATTGGATTCGCCTTCAAAAATTCTATAAAAAAAGTGTTACAACTAATTTTCCCATTTTTTCAGACCATTTGAGTTTCGATTCTATCCTACTCAGATAGCATCGCATTATAATGTATTTACCAAACAATTAATTGCATTTCACTTACATAATTTGTTTTTTTTCATTTATTTATATGACCTATATTTAATTTACTCACACCGAGTTTGCTATCTTTTAAATTTTTATAAATATACCTATATTCTGTCAATAATTGCCGTCTGATGTCTGGCGTAAAATAAATAAATAAATAATGTTAAGAGGATTATCAATGTTATCGATATTTATTATACCTATATTATATTTAAAACCTAAACAAATCGCGTCATGCTATTAAATATTATATTATTATAACGTATACACTGTTTATTTCCTCGTATTAATTTGTTTTTTAACCAATAACGATTATTGTTTGTTAGGTTTATATTATACAGTATTTTATCACCCAGGCAGCCGATAGTTGGTTATGTGTACCGACATTTTTAGAAAATTGTTCTCTTTCTCAAACGTGAGTTCGATTTTTGGTAACTTAACCAACATGGAATTATTTGAGACAAAATGCCGAAAGCGCTATTAATTTACATGGTAAATAACGCGATTCTATCCTAACCTAATCTATCAGTGGCGTACATGGGATTTTCAATGGTGGAGGAGGCTGAACTAAAACAACGAGACTGAACAAAAAATGTTTTATAAAATACATCATTATATTTATGCAGTACAATTATTTGTACGTTATTGGATAAGTGGTGTTACTTCGATATGCGGTCTACCGATACGTTTTTAATTCAGTAGGTAGTCCACATCATACATTTTAAACACTTCATGCGTAAAACAATGGACTTAAATTATTACAAGGATAATAATATAAGGAACTTATTATTACGTGAGTAAGAGATAGATAAGAACACTAGTATACAAATAATCTAATTATAAGATTACTAATACATCAATAATCGGTTTGTAAATAACATTCAGATAAAATTTCTTTTTTATGATCATACTGACAATTTGTTGAAGTTCTTGAAGTAAATAGCATTCAGATGACGAAAGAACAAAAATATTTTAACTATGTGTACTATTGTACCTGTGTTAATAATGGCCATACAATTGTTAAATATTGATTATGATGTGTGGGTGGAGAATTGCCTTAGTTTTGAGAGATTTGCTCTACAAGCAACTCTTCCCGTAATTTTTCCAATAAACCAGTATGAAAAAAAAACATAATCGAATTTTCTCAAAGTACACCTAAGTGCGAAATTCAGTTCATCACGATCAAATAAAAAAAAATTCACTGGGTTACACCCAAACAAAGTCGTCCCGAATTTGAATTTTAAAATAATTTATTAAATAAAATATTAATTAACAAGCAAATTAATTTTAACTTACGTAATATTATAAAAAAAAAAAAAAAAACAAAAACAAAAACAAAAGTTATCTTCTTCTTTCTGATAACAATGTCGATTTTGATCACGCATAAACATTTTTCCCCTCAAAACTCATTAATGTCCGGTCGACATAAAATAGTACATACGTATTGAAATTTTAGAAATTCCAGTAAAAATCACAAAATCACTGCAGACTACTATTCATATTTCCGCGACTATTTAAATATCCGCTGACGTTTGCCGGTTTTCGAGACTTGTGAGTCAAACAACATAGTACACACATACACACACACACAAATCACGGGAGCACTTTATAATAATGTTAGACGCGATTTTAATACGATCTCGAGTTGTGCGGTCGTGTCCACGGGCGAACCTACTTAAAAAGTCATGTATACCGAAATCCACAGGGTATGCCAAAAAAATAAACGGGACTATTTTCGTATATTATCCGTGTATAAATAATATACAAAACGGAGTATTCGGATCGGTTCGTCCGCTCTTTCCGACCAAACCCCCTCCTCCCTCCCACTTTTCACTTAGGTCGTAATAAAATATATTGTATAACGCGTACGAGTCGTACACGCGTATACCACACACGTTATTATTACGAACGTCTCCGCGGCGGTTATATGATTTGTGACGGACCGGGCGCGCGGGACTAACGAAAGGAGCCGTTTCTCTCGTCTGCGCGGCGGAGTCTGAGTGATTTATACCGGGTCTGCAAGAGTCGTAAACAGCTGTTTTAACACGTATAATCGACCGGCTATTAGCCGCGTCCGCGTGTTGCTCGTCTCGTTTTTCTCGTCGGCGACAACCCGCGACGATAAAACATCGACGACGACAAGTCAGTTAGGTACACACTATACGCTGCCACACAGCTATTAGCCCGAAGACACGCGCGTACGTATAATATATATTCCTTCGGGGGGGGGGGGTTGAACATATACGCACAAATCCCGCGGTGACGGGACTGCGGGGTTGATGGGTCACCGGGATATCGGCTTACAGGAAGTTATACGGCGCGGACGAGCCTGTGTATTTCGGGGACGAGGAGACGAGAAGAAAAACGAAGGGGGACAGAAAAAAAAAAAAAAACGTGACCAAATCACTCCATCCGAAACGTTCGCGTGTATACGTATACACTATAGTATAGTGAGTATACAAGTGTACAGACAACGCGCGATTTGTGGCGTTCACAGGGACACGTGGTCGATATCCGACGACGGCAATTTGTTTTTCTCTCGGTTTTTTTCACCCTCGACCCCCCCCCTCTTACCACAGCCCCCTCTCGTTCTTATACGTATATATATATATATATATTATCTCGTAAATCACGTCGAAAACATCAATGTGCCGTCTTATCGACGAGAACTACTACTTCTACTCCTCATATACGTATATGATACCTACTGGTGTACGGTAATACTCGTAACCGCGTCCGGAAAACAAATAGTTTCGCGAAAAAGGTGGCTAGGCCGCCGACGACGCCTTAAAATACTGCACAGCAGTCTCGAAAACCGCCGATAATTCCGGATTCGCTCATGGCCACCGAACGCCGTCGCACTATATTTTATAATGTTTTATACGTATCCGTGTGTACGATCTGTCCATTATATCCGCCAAACACGTCCTATACGTCGCGCGACGAAAATAATTCTCACCGAAAATAAAACACGTGTTAAAACGGTACGTAACATCGTGTAAAACATATGCATACGAAAACTGTTAACGGCGCTATTTACTATACACGAGTATACAATATAATACAGTAGCCATACTGCAGACTATCGTATACAACTGGATGACGGATGATTATTTTGGACGCCGTGACCGTGGACTCGATAAACGAAAATGTACGATTATATTACAGAGGGTTTCTCATTTACGTCGCCATAACTCTTCTTCGTCGCGTCGGAGAAATTTGTGTATACTTCGTAGAGGAGCTTTCTTGCATAGCGTTTTGGATACAGGGCGGGTACCACTCATTTGTATTTGATTCGTATAGTGTTGTTTTGTAATTTGATAAACCATCATACGGTTTATTGTTTTGTATCCATATTTCGTACTTATAGTATAAGGTCTATATGTATTTTGTATATTAGTTGGTTTACTGGACGATATCAATTATTATTTCAAAAACATAGACAGCGTAGGATGGCCACAGAACGGGAAAATGCAATTTTAAATATAAACATCAGTTTTTCTTTCCAAGTCTTTAAAGACTTTGAAATTCAAATTATGGGATTGACAAACTTAATAATGTATTTATGGTTTAGTTTAGATTTTTTTTTTTTTCAATAACCGTAGATAGATTAAATCAAATATCAATAGAAAAGACATTTTATGATGGCTATATAGGTGACGACTACACTATATTATAATCGATACGTCAAGGAGATAATTTTTAGAAATTCCACAGTACTACTCTATCGTCGTTTGTTTTAATGGTTTGTACGTGTACCTACGTGTTTTACACAATTTATAAGATGTTATTGCATACACCTAGCGTATTAGCCGACGAAGGACGCGTATAATATTTTCACTTACAGTTTTGGTCGACTTTGTGCAACCAGCACCTAACCAGTCGAGTTTTGATAACTTGATAACAAAAACAATATTATAGAACATATTAAAAACAAGAAGCCGACAAAACTTTAACCATGTAAAACGCAATATATAAAAAAAAAAAAAAAACCCAAAGAATTAGACAATCCCGAATAGCTATACATTAACATCTAAAAAATGTCAAAATATTTCGAAAATAAATATATTACGTCTGGAAAATTTTAGGTATTTGACCACTTTTGTTTTTTTTTTAGGTTAAGATCTTTTGACCTGTCAAAAAAAAAAACCAGGCTTGAAATATTATCCCGGTCCGCCCCTAGCTGATTATGAGGCCATCACATATTAATGAAGACGCGCAGACCGGCCGGACGCGCGCGGAAGTTTCGAGACCCAACGACTGACACAAACACGATGAGTTATACGCAGTGTCGCATGCGCCACACGACTTGTCATCCGGACCGTGAAAGCCGATGCTCGGGGATATCGCATCGGACGTGTGCGTTTTCACGAGTGACCGGACCCGTACGACCGACGGTCGGTCGATTCGTTTCGCCGACGGATCACAGGGTGATATATACAGGGTGATCCATGACGAATAATCTACGAACATTTCGAATAGATTCGATTTCGTCATATTGCGGACATATTATATAGAATCGTGTTGGACGGGGTTTTATTTACTAAAAATTTGTTCACAATAATTGTACACTCTTATTCAGTATGCGTTCAGTACCTACACTTCACCTCCAAAATTATCAAATAGTGAAAAACATTTAAAAAAAAAATTCCGAATCGAAAACGCAATACTTTTCTATAAAAATTTGCGTTACGCGTAACACCGTTTCGGATATTATTATTCGAGTATGACATTTTTGTATCAAATATTCGATCATTTATCAAAAAAATTATGTATCCACATAAAACTCTAGAAAATTTAAAATAGCTATAAACAACTTAAACAGCGCCAGAATATTTTTGAAATTGTACCTATTGAATAAGAGTAATAGTATGTAAATCTTCAAAGGAGATTTTCGATCACCAGGAATACTTTTCACTGAATCATCACAACAAGAAAACAAAATCGATTCCAACAGAAAACCGTTGTTCCGTAATTATTTCCGTTTTTCCGACCTTTTTTTCACGGTTTTCCCTATGATAATGAAAAGTAAAAAAAAAAATCACAAAGCGCTATCTAGTCTAATAATACACCACCAAACCGGATGAAACCGTTTATACCGAAAACCACTCGTCTCGGCGAACAGATTCGGAGCAGGTTAAAAAACCGTTAAAAATTAGATTATTTATAGAACGCCATCGCGGGGCGTTTAAATTTGCATAAGAATAAAAAATCAACTCTGGGTAGACTCTTATTCCGTCCGAAAAGCGCCCGTGCGCGGCGGTAAAACAATCGCCCTGTATAAATATAATAAGACGAAACGGCGGGGAGGGGGTGGTGGGNGGGGGGGGGGGGGGGGGGGGGGGGGGGGGGGGGGGTGCAAGCGACGAGAGCTAACAAGTCGGCGGCGGTGGCGATCTCGTTTAAATGTAAATATACTAATAACAATAATAATACGACGTAAACACGTCGGGTGGGGGGGAGGAGGAGGAGGAGGAGGAGGGGACGATAACCGATCGGTTTTCCGTTGACCGCGGCCGCCGGAAATTGTGATACCGCTCGTATTATTGTATTATTGTACGCGGCGAACGTAAGCCCCGTAATGACAAACGTCCGTCGAGCACGTACGCGCCGAAACGTAATATAACGCGCGAGCCGCCACCAGCTGCGCGGAGGGTGCGCGACGACGGCGGCGGCGGGCGGTCAATCCGACTCGCGCGATTAATATCGTTATATACGTATCGCGTATACGCGCGGAACCGGGCGGCCGGGACCGCGCTTTCTCACGCCCTCGCGCGGTCACGTCCTCCGGCCGGCCGCACGATTACGCGCCGCCGGCCGCGAGCGCGGTTCCGGCGGGTCTCCTCCCCCCTCCCCCCCCGGCGGTTTCGCGAAATCGCCGGCCGCGATTCGAAAACGTCTCCGTCGTAACCTGCAGCGGAGCCCCGATTTGCGCACGTGCGAACGGCGCACGAACACGGGGCCCGCAGATTCCGAGGGCCCCGTCTCACCTTATGTACAAATGGTGCACTTTTATGTTCTGTAACAGCGTACTTTTTATTATCGGTGGATTGGATGTTTAATAAGCTATTGTTATGCACGTTAACATTTTTTGTATTTATTTCATATATTATGTATATTTATCGCTTTCCGTGTATACAAAGTCGAATGCGTTCTTTTTTAACTTTGAAAATTTGCAGATACTCGTATTTGATATATATAGTCTATTTCGTAAATAAATTGTTATTTTTTTTTTTTCATCAATCTTTTTTTAATAAAAAAAAGGGTCCTAAAGTAAGTAGTGCGCAAGGCTTCTATCTCTTCAAATCGGGCCCGGGTCGCAACTTTAGATCGTGTACAATGGATAAAGCTGTTAGAAATAAAATGCGCCGCTAACATATCAAAAAGGTGTCTCACTTTTGCGCATGATGCGCGAAGTACTGTTATCAGTCCTATTACAATCTACTTAAAATATCACTGAATTGCAATATATTATTATTATAACTCTATGTAAAATATGTTTCTGAATATCCAATATGGGTTTTAATATGGCTACATATTCGTTTCACATGAGGTATAGCCGTAGTTCTACCCAATCTAAGGTGGTAACGTTATCACGCGGTTATTATTGTAACGCGGTTTCCCCCAACACATACCAATTCCGTGTTATCGACAATATACTAAGGTTGTTCGAAAAGTAATGCAAATTATTGTCTTTCGGAGGTGCAATAAAATAGTAATTGAAAGCTGTAAAACTGATCACGGTTGTGCAGCAAACAATTCGGTTATCATTGCATTCCGAAGTTCGGCTCAATTGGTTGAAAACTCGCACGTCTGCGGCTGTTTTAGCGAAGTGTGTTTGGATTCCGCCTCCGAGGTTTTCATGTCACGAAAATGCTGAGAAAAACTTTGTACAATAACAGTAATAATACATTTCTAAATTCATTAATTCCCTTGCCCTGGAATCGTGTTAGTATAGTTCGCTACAAACGGAGACGTGATGAGACATCTACTCGTAAGCACGGAATTCGTCGACAAGACACGTGCCGTATTGCTAAATCATCGTTTAAAATTGCAAACGCGCTACCAATAAATTGCAATGTTTAACCTAGTGGCAAGTTTACGAAATGTTATCCGTTTGTCTTTACCATCAATAACACTCGCCATGTTGACAATAATCTCGTTTCTGGGCTCCTTTGTCACTCTCCTCCGTCCGTCTCTTAACGCGTCAAACCACCGATATAACGTCGCTCTGCTCATAATGCTTTACCCATACGTAATTTTTAACATACATATCAACTGGAAATTTTACCAATTTAAAACAAAATTGAATTGTATACCTTTACTCTCAGTTCTTCTCAATTTTTTTAACACGAAAAACCTTGAAAGCGGAATCTGAACACACTTCACTAAAGCATGGCCAGTTTCCGCTAAAAATGTACCTTCCCCTTTTCCGCCATCATACAATGGATCGATTCCGTTTTCGGCCATAATCGTACTTTTCCCTTTTCCGTCAAATGAACAAATTTAATTTTAATATTCGAATTTCAAATATTAATGGACAATTATATACATTAAAAATAACCAGACAAAGAAATAAATTAAAATTGTTTTCAAAAGTTTTTTCTAATTTTATTCTTATTTATTAAATACAAGGTGAAAATAGTTGTTAATACTTATAACGGTTATTCTTACCATAATTTTTTACACAAAAAATATCAAAAGCAGTCCTTTTTTTTTTGTAAATTGTGATTACTTTCCAATACTTTGAGCATCAACAGGTTCAATTATAAGATGAACAACTAACAATTGTCTATGTTAAACTTAGAAGCACCAAACTTGACACAAGATCGCCGAGTTCGAGACAGAAAATAATCGAAACAAACAATAATTTATAACAGAATACGAAAAGTTAAATCTTGACAAGTAGCGTGACTAACTATTTTAACTTCATGTCAATAGGTATTTGTATTTATTTTTTTCTCTTAAATTTTCAGATAGGAATTTCTAAAAAAAAAATTATCTTACAATTATTGTAAGCTGTAAGAATAAATAATATAACATTTGTTGTGAACATTTTGAATTCTTTTATAATACAATATTATAATAATGTACGATACAATCGTCCATTAATATTCTAATATTAGACTAAATTTTTTCATTTGGCGGAAACGTGAATCGACGGAAAGGGACATATTTGGGAAACGGGTAACAAACACCATAGGCTAAACCCTAGGGAGCAACATAATATCCTAAACACCTTCCTGATCTGTGATTTAGAATTTTTTTTTCATATCTAGCATTTAACTCGTCTTCTGAAGACGGATTAGACTTATTCAATTTCCCCGAGAGAAAAAACCATAATTTTCTAGGCGAGTAGTAGACGGGAACATTGCCGTACGTGAAAGGTGAAACAGCATCATTATGGTCAATACAAATTCGTAAGAATATACACGATAACGTACACAATAAATGTACCATAAAACAGTGTTAGTTTTTCCCGTCATTCGGAAAAATTGTTCATAAAAACAAAATAACAATTTTTCAAAAACCGCATTACATTTCTCACTTCGCATATCTAAAAGTGATATTTTAAGTATTATTATTATTTCATATAAATTCATGTCTCGACTTTACCGTATTTCTAATTGTCATTTGTGATGTAAACGATACGTAAAATAGCAGCGATTTCCGAGAGAACTATACATATATATATATATTTGTCTTCGATCATCAGTGCACGCTCGCGCACAAAACCGCCACACCTACCCTACGAGGCTGGAAATGCAAACGATTCGTTATTCGTCTCTGTCGTGATTCGCCGGCAATCAATTATGATTTGCACGTTTCGTTACGGGGGACACGTCGACTTTATCTTCGCCGCACACACCGCGTTCAGCTCTCGATATACAAACTTAAATTTAGCACCGATAAACCTACGCTGATGTCGCATAGTGTCTTTGTATTTATTAACAACTCGCTCCCGATAGCAAATACGTTTATTTTTATTTTCGGAATAAGTCATTTCTCTCTTAGCAGCGATTTACGAAATTCGCCTACCGTGACGATAACGTAATACAAAATGCCCATGGTGTCCGCATCAGCAACAGAATTAACGGATAAAACTGTTGCGGGCGGTGAGCTATGCGTGCCGCCGTCAGTTATACAGTAGAGCGTGTTGTGCGGTAAGGGAAAAAAATCGGACTTTGTAATTAAAACAAATTAGAGGTAAAAAACAAAAAAAAAAAAAAACCGTCGGATCGTCATCGCGGATGCGCGGGGGGGACAGCTATTATTAAACGCGTTTGGAAATTTTATCGGCCGCGGCCCGTCGCAATTGTACGCGCACACGCCGCGACTGTGTTATAATATTATTAATACGCTGAGAACGTTATCACGCACGAACAACGGCGATTTGTACACGGACAGCCTGTTCGATTGTACGCGTCGTACGATACGCGGGCGCCGCGGCGCGATAATAATAAATACGCGACCGGCGGAGGTCGATAGGGCGCAGTGTAAATAAACGTGTGCAGATAGTGTGCGCGGGGGCGCGCATTTGTACGTCCTGAAAACACTTGCCGTGCACATAAATTATCGGATGCTACAAAAGGGTTTCGGGGGCGCGCGCGTATATCTTGAGGGAATAATTATAAGGTTGACCGCGCCGCTATTACGGCGGTGGGCGCGCGCGGGAAAAGGGGTAATTTGTTTTTCGAAATTACTCTTGTACGCGCGCGCCAAACACAAGCGACCCGGCCGCAGAGGCCTCTGGGGACGCCGAAAATCCGCGAGTGTGGTCGGCCGCCGCCGTTATACGCGCAGAGTATGTATGATACGTATATACGACGGGGGCGAGGTTTCGCCTGCCCCCTCCCCCAACCTCTATCCCCGCTCTCCCGTAAATAAAACTCTCTCCGAGGGATTTCGGGCGAAAAGAAATTATTTCGCAAATGGGTACCCCTCCTCCGTCCCCCCCCCGGTCCCTTTCGCGCCTCTCGTCCCTGTTTGTCGCCCCGGTTCCGTTATTAATTTATGTTTATTAGAGGGCACGGGGACTCGTATCGTACAATATACCCCGTCGTATATATAGTTTTTATTCCGAAAACGTTAAGGCGGCGCGCTGCGAGTGCACACGGTGCGGTCTCGATCTTTTTTTTTTTTTTATCATTTTTATTACAAAACATTTCGGTCGAATAGCGCTTAGAATATAATAATGTATATACGCCGCGGAGGGAGAACGACGTGAGTTATGTTCGAGATTTTTTTATTTTTTTTTTCTTTTTTCCCTGTTATTTATTTTCCACCGAATAAAACGAAACAGTTGGTTTGGGCTTGGCGCGGCGGTCGACCTTATCGAAGTTTATGTTGTATTATTATTATTGTTATTATTGTAACGTCGTCCGCGGCTCGTGAAATGCGAACAACGGGAAAACAAACGCGTACACATCGACGACGAAACCGCGACAATGTGAACAAACGACGAATATTATTCGGACGTAAAAAAATAAAGAAAAAAAAACCCGTAACATTATTTTAGCAACGAGTTTTGAGAACTATCGCGGAATTCGAAAGTTTTCAAAGTTATTATTAACGTGAACGCGTATAGTATTGCGGGTACCTATACGTTATTTATGCGTGACGCAATTCCGAATCGGCGAATATTTCTCAAACTGCGTTTTCAAACGAAATACTCTCGTACGGGGGGGGGGGGAACAAATAAATTACACGGACGAGAAAAACCAAGAAAACGGATAAATGCCGCGGGGTATAATAATTTTCGTCGCAGTATGCGGACTTTTGCATTATGCAACATCGCTCGTCATTATAATTGGCGTATACAACTAAACACGGAATTCTTCTACTTAAACATTGTTATATTACCTATACACATATTAAAATTGACGAGTTATTTCACAAATCTTTTCTAAAAAAAAAAGACTAGTATGTTCAGCACACATATGTTTTAAAACGCTATAAGTATAAAATATATCGTGAAACTCTCGTTAAATTCCAAGCATTTGTGTTTGGCCGAACAATTGTATCTACATAAAACAAAATAAAAACTAACAAAAAAACTGCGATAATGTAAAATACTTAAGTACTTAAATACCTAAATACCCATCAGTAATGGGCAACAAAGCAAAATAATTAACTTAGAATTAAAATTGTGGCGTTTAGGTTGAAATTGGAATTTTAACAAAGGTAACGAAATTTAAAGACGCGAATATTCTCGAGGATCCCCTACGTTAACTTTTATTTTAAAATATTGCCTAACAAAACAGTTATAGCCTTGTTGGTTTTTCTTTTTTGAAAATGGCTAGTGAATTCGGCCATCAGTTGGACTGAGACAGTAAATGTGGGTACACGTCCTATATACTCAATTCAAAAGATATGTGCAAATCAAACACATATTATATTATAATATAAACAGTAGTTTATTATTTTTTTTTTTTTACAATTAATTCATGATGCAGAGTAACTTCACTATAAAGACACGCGATTAAATGTTCGCACAAAGTACACATCAATTTTGACGCCGAATAATATTATGTTAAAATTACACAAAGCTGCGACGTTCGTATATTACTATATAATTCGATAAGAATAATATTTGTCTACGCCTTATATTGTATTACAATGAATTCGTTAATCTGCAATTTATCACAAAGCAAATAGCATGATAGTATTATAATATGTCAAATACATAATATGAAGACAAACAGTAGTGAAACGTAACTACGATAATAATCGTTATTGAGTTTTCAACGCGTTTGCGTAATTTCTATCAATATATATTTTTACAATACACGACGCTGTTCAATGAAAAAAAAATTATCATTTACTTTAAAAGTTATTTATTTTGAGTTATATGTGAACTATAAATTCAAATTCTGAGCGCAGCGAGAGGAATGTAATGATTTTACTATAATGTATGTTTTTTTATGTTTCTGTCTGCAAACATTTTAATCAGAAATCCTACTCGGAACATCAATTTCAGGAATGGCTTATGGTCACCAAATTTTGTCAAACTGTTATATTGAGAAAGTCATTTATTGGTTTTTCTTGTTGTATTCTTAGCGATTGGGGGAAAAAAAAATAGAAAAAACAAGACAATTTACGGCAATAACAGTTTCATTATTTTCGATTTTGTGAAAATAATTGAAGTAACCTTTTTATAGCAGAATACTCATTATCAGACATTAGTTTCTAGACGTGGCACAATTTAAATAACATCTTTTAATAATTTATAGGCATTCGATATTTTTTAATTTAACGGTAGTAAATAAATTTAAAATATTAGATTATACATTTTAACAATGTTTATTTTTTTTAAATTTCAAAAACAAGTATATTTTTTATGTATATATGTATATATATTTTTTTTAAAAGTCCGGAATTACGTTATAACAATATTGCAAACGTCCGTCTCGGCACGCGATATTTGTGTTTAATCGAAATTCTCGGACGTGACGGTCTTACAAAATGCATATACGGGGAGGGGGAGGGGAGACGGAAACAGATCGAGGACCTCGACATTACTCCGAGAGGCTGGCGTGTTTAAAAACTACGGGCCCGCGCCCGGAGAACGACAAAACGACTACAGTAATTATTATTGCGACGATTATCCTGGCAAATTGGTTTATGACGATCTCTTTCGGCCGTCGAATAGTAATAATAATAATAAACGTTATGTGTTTTCGGTCGACTAGCCCGTCGTCGTCTCCCGTCATACGTGTACACATATTATTATACAGTGTACATCACAGGGGTGTCGCACATGTATACAATAATATACTAATCTCCCGCTATCCCTTCGTCTGTCTCGGCCGTCGGTGATGCGTATGTATATATATATATATATATATACACATACACGTATAATATATAATAGCGACGGGGGGAGTGGGAATGTGTTTTTTTTTTTTTTTTATTTGTCCTCGCACCCTCAACGACAGTACGTATATACGTATATAGTAAGTATAGTATTATTTTTGGGGGCGAACTCGCTTGCGCTGATTTCACGGGGCGCCGATCACGAATATATCGTATACGTACATGTATAGTGTGTTACATGGGAATTCGCACTTGTTGTACCGCGTATACAACAATGATTATGCTAATGGACACCCTCCCTCGCCCCTCCCCCCCCCGGCGACTCGCCGATATATAACAATAACGTTCTAAATTATTGGCCATTAAACGCGCCCGCAAAATATAAAACGGCAAAAATGATACTATAAAATATACTATCGGTTTTTCGCACAAACTCAATATGTTTAATATTACAACCTCGCGCATACGTTATTTCGAATAGCTACGAATTTATTATGCAGTCAAATTTATGTACTGTTTTTGCTTCAAGACTATTGTAAGACGTGCGTATCGATTTATCAGCACAGAATTCGAATCACTAATGATGTCGCTTCGTTTTTAGAGAGAACCACGTTAATTGGAATGTTAAATTTTTTTAGGTTTAATAGTCGGCGTTTAAAATTATTTAAACGAATATTCTATAATAAGTTAAATTAATGTATGACGCATTTTCAAAAAGGACATGCGGGGCGCACAACTGCTGAAAATGTTGATAAATGTTTTGAGTAATGTATCACCGGACAGCAGTGGCGAATAAAGAAATTAATTTGAGAGGGTAGGGGATGCACGTGTGCCGGGCAGCTATTCCGCAAGCGTTTTTACTAACCGAAAAAATGTTTTTCGACGAGAAATACACTGCACACACAAATCTTAGTAAATTTAACGTTTGGAATATAAAATTGCATTAAAAGAAGATTAGAAATTAATACAGGTACTTAAAACACATTTCAACATATTTTTGTGATAGCAACGCGTTAAAAAAAAAAAAACCGGGAAAAAATGGCATTGTATTATAATACCAGCTGTAATTTTCGAATAATAGTATTACGAATATATTATTATAGTCGGTTGCAATGGGTTTGTAATCAATGATTTTTTTTTTTTTTACAAACTTCGACAGATGTATTTATTATCTATAGTATACTTTTCCTTTCGAAACTTCTTCCTCCGGGGTATATTGATTGTTCAGTTGTACAGTTTACACAATGTCATGACGGTTTTGTGTATTCGTTTACCGTTGCAGTATGTACTCACGTCATAACGACCAGAAATATTATCGAATGTGTGTTACACGTGTTTTGAACAAACGAGGCAATCGGTATTTCTTATTTTTATTTTCATAATAAAATAATAATTATTGAACCTGAGAGGGATGTCTGGATGGATACTGCAGAGGAATCAGAACTTTGGGTATAAATTCCTTTGTTTTTCGAAAAAAAATAATAATTATACGTTCGATAGGTATTTATGGAAAACAAAGCTCGGATTAATGAAGACCAAGGCCCCCAACAAAAAAACTCCATGTGCCTTAGTTACTAAAGCACGATTTCTCTATTTGTACGCATTTAATCATTAACTTTATGTTTTAAATATATTGTAATATTTTTTCGTTGCCCGATGATATGATTCATAGCAAAACCTACTAGTTTGAATTGAGATCTATTGTTTCTACACATTACATTTTATTGTTTTTCTTTTGTTAAGATAATATAATATTTTCATAATTAATAATAATTTTGAATAGTTTAAAAAATCGGCCCCTGGCAATGGCACATTTGAGTTTTCCTAATGAAAGGAGGGAAATGTTATAACCCACACAAACATATATATGTATATATATTATATACTTACTTAAGTTGTGCATGAGAAACTATGCGTCTAGATACCATAATAAACCCTAATTCTTTCTAGAATAGAAAAATGTTTTAACAAGCAAAACAAATTGTAGGTGTACACATTAGAATATTAAATTATTTAAAAGGGTACTGCTCATGAGTGGTTCATTGTTGTAAGTAGGGAATTAGAAAGACATAATTATACGTAATTAAATCTATTACATTTGTTGATAAATTTAAATTGAAAATGTTAATAATTTGTCACAAAAAAAAAATAAATCATAATTGATTCAAAATAATTTTATCATTATTTTGAACTTGAAATGCTTATAAAAAAAACCACTCACTTTATTGAAATACAAAGTCTAACGTATAACGAACCTTGTATCAAAATATTTGAAAATTTCAAATAACTATATATTATAATTAAACAGCCCCAAAATATTTTTAAAATTGTAACACGTTTAAAGAGTACTACTTTAATTTTTCTATATTTTTCATTGAATTAGAAAAAAATCAACTACCAAAATCCGTTGAACAGTAAATATTTCCGTTATTTCTCCCGTTTTTTTCCAACTTTACCTAATTATTAATAAAAGTAAAAAAGTAAAATCAAAAAAGGACTATAATCTTAGACAATGGTTTTCATCCTGGGAGTCGTAACTTACAAGGGGGTTACGTGTGATAGTTAAAAGGCAAACAACTATAAGTAACATGTATACTGTACACCATATTATTCGAGTTCTGTTAAACGGTTTTTTTTTTTGGGAGGGGGCTAATTTTACATGAAAAAAACTAGGGGGTCGCGATTTGTAAAAGGATAAAAACTACTAGTTTAAGGTTGGTATAATGTTGCAAGTATTAATGATCAGAGCAAAGTGTCTGGTTGAAAAGTTGTAAAAAATTTAATTTTTTTTTTTTTGTTTATTTTTGAGATAAATATATTCGTAAAACAAAAGAAGAGATCTCGAGTAAAAGGGGTGATAACCGTTATCGCTATTTCTCAATCGCGCCACAATTCCGGGGCTCCAAAATGTCTTAATTTGGACTTGGTTATAGATTTGATATCAAAACCGGTAAAAATAAAACCGGCGATTAAACCAGTCCAAAATGAGCTCGAGTTTTACACGTATAAACTATATATCTGTAAATTGTATACGCAACGCACCTCTCTTTAGTTTTTCCAACGGTTCGTGATGCAACAGCGACGGTGGACACGGCACCGCGGCGTGATGATGATGATGATGGCCGTCGTGGTGGTGCACGTGATGGTGTCCCAGCATGCCTTGGTGTAGACCGGCGCTTCCGTCGTGTACGGGATGGTGAAACGACGCGGACGACGTGTGTTGTAGAGCCACGTTATGGTGATCGGAACCGGTGGACGACACCAAGTCTTGCAGGCACAGACTCGGATCGGTCAGGTTTTCCAAGCGTTCCATCATATTCACGGTCGGATTTTTGATTGTCCGTCAACCTTTTACTAAACTCTTTTAAAGGCCAACGACCATAACCGGATGATTAATTTGTGTATTGATACAGAATATATCGAAATAAGAATGCTCGGTCGTCGATAATGAATCTGTAACAAAACGTGAAAATCAAACTTATTAGTTTGTAAACAAAAAAAAAAAAAAAAAATACCGTAAACCGTCTACCGGTTAATACCCCGTAGAAAAATTTAAAATACAAAATTCATTAAAATGAACAGCCCAAAAGAGCTTCAATTCATAAATTTCAATAATTCAAGTTGACGCTGATCCGAAATTCAAAATGTGTGTTCGTCTACTAATTGCGAGAATTCCGGTTTAACGGCGAACAATAACAAATCGAAGTAAGATCAGTGATGAAAATTTGGGCCACGAAATCGCACAGCTTATGCAGACTTATTCATACGCCAAGTCATAAGTGTACGTGAGCGAACCTCGCGCTGTTGCCAAACTTCACGGGGAAATTTGATGGGTAATCGGAATAATTGGCGGGGACGTCTGATTGTATGATTGCAAATTTCAATGATCGGATTGTTGAAGCAATTTCGGCTACCACAGATGTGGAGATGAACACAGTATTATGTAATTATGCTTGACGTAATTTTTCATCATTAAATCGGAGTTCCTACATGTCTTTAATATAAAATATAATCGATTTCAACCGAATCGTCGCATTTTTTAAAAAGTTCCCAAAATAAAAAATGTTTCAACATTTTTTTTTCATAATAATACTGTAGTAGACATTTACAAATCACAATAATTATGCGTGTGCATAGGACACCGTCTAGACTCTAGATACTTCAAACGGTTCTCAACCTTTGTGCATATGCGACCCAAGATATTTATTCAATTTTTCACATGTCCTTTGTTAAAATTTAACGAAAGAGGGTTACACCTCGTTGCTCCCACTCTTAACATTTTGTCGAGTAAAATTATTTGTATAGTTTTAAAACGTCCTTTTATTTAACTTTTACAATGTTGGACCGATCCAATCAAAATTATTCGCGACCCAAAGGTTGAGATACGTTGTTTTACAATGCCAATAGTTTACACGGTTTTTATAATATTTTACGAGTATTTTTTTTTTTATGTATATATATATATATATATATATATATATATCTTCAACTGACGTCTAAATAATATCAGTGACATGTTTTATAGTTAAACAATAATAATACGAGTACCGACCCGAGTTTTCAATATTATATAGGAGTGGCTGTGATAAAAAAATATCATGTTTTTTTGTACGCGTAGTATACCTATAATATAGTTAAACACGCAAGATATTTATATTTTTTTAATATATCAGCTGTAATATTATATGTATATGAATTTTTATTATTCGATATTAATATTTAGAATAATATTGTTACGAAAAAATCTGCAACGTTTACGCGTACGATTATAATTGTGTGTATGTGTTTTAACGATATATTATAATCTTTACCGCGTGAGATTAAACAATTAATAATAATATTGTTTCGCGATAAAAATATAATAATATAGCGTAGGAAATATTCAACAGTCGTTAAAAAAAATGAGTATTATTGTGGCGTGTCGATCAGCTTAAAATATTATCGGAACAAATACACTAGTATTTTATTTATAATTTAATATAATACGTGTATGCACGAGCCAGACAAATAATGATAAAAGCAAACGATTTTTATAGTTTTATAATATGTGTGCGCGCGCGCGCGCGCGCGTGTGTGTGTGTGTATAGATTAAAATGCTTCAACGGAAAAATCATGACTAAGTCCTCGTATAATATGATGGTATAGGTAGGAGCAGATGTATACTCAGAGTCCGGCGGGATTTGGATTTTCAAAAATCATTTTTTAGGATTTCGAAGTTTTCAAATCCCCCGAAAATCCGGTCGTAAATGTACAGTCGTACATATTATAATCAGAGTCGGTTTGTTATTTATAATTATTAGATAATGTTATTAATATATACTCGACTCGTGTTATTAATATTATTATTCTTTGCGGGTAATTCGACGTTACAATTATAATTTACAAACGGTATGTAACCTAACTTCGTTTCACTTTTAATTAGTTAATTGTCCATGCATTTCGGAAATCGGACTTAAAGGATTCTATACATCCTCTCTACAAGTATTTGGATATAATTTTCGTGCGTATGACGAAAGTGGCGATGTAACGAAAAATCTCAAAACGAATTTAAGAATACGTTTAGTCGAACGACGGGTATAAATAAAAACGAAATCGTAAAATATGACGTTTTAAATGTTTTATGGTAGGTAGGTAAGGTATTAATATCTGGAGTTTATATTGTTAGGTATAAACCAAAAATATAGTTCGTAGAAAATAATATTGTGATGGGTTCGCCGCTGAAAATTTTGATAAGATACTACAATATACAGAGTGTCGGACCCTCGGCTCGGTTCACTCACCAAGGCAGTAGTTGATATTGAATTACTTTATCAGTATAGGTAGGTAGGTATGAAAGTTTGATAGTGGGCGATAATGAAACATCGATTTTTTAGAAATGGTATTTACAGTATTTTACAATCGTATTTACAATCGTGCTGCATATTTTAGGGGAGAAGGGGGGTGGGATTAGTCATTAACATGACGTGTATATAAAAAGTAAGTATACAGTCAAGTTAAGAATTTTTAAATTCAGCAAGAATAACATACTTACAATTGTAGAAATTTGATAAAAGTAAAAAGTATGTAAATTGAAATTTGCATCTTTTGCATTCAAATATACAACCATAAATAACACGTGAATTTATAAAACATATATAAAATAATTTTCGTAAAGTAACCTAACCTTCCGTTGTATTAGGTGGAAAGTTCAGATGGTGTAGGAATAAACGATATATACTATGCAGGCTATAATTAATTTCTTGTAATAAAAGCTACCACAAATTATTAATTTAAATCTGATTTTAAACATAACTTAGTCACATTTTTCCTCTTATGGATTGTCACAGAGTAATCCAGAAATCAGAAAAAAAACACCTATATATCGTAATTTATTATCATTATTTGTACATTTTATAGACAATTTTTTAGGAATTTAAAATAAATTGTTCGAAATAAAATATCACTGGATAAAACATCCGCATCTTTTATAGTAATAAAAGTATATTATAAGTGGTTTTAAGCATTTTTAAAAACCACATAAGTATTTTCCATGAAAAAAAACATATCTTAATAAAACAATGTATTAATAATAACAACTTGAACTTAATAACCTAAATTAATATAATGACATTAAAGAATAATTTATTAGGAATAATAAATCGTTATTTTTCGCTACACTCAAAATCTAAAATTACACATTTCAGTACTTGCGTTTTATATTAACGGAATGCAAAAGAATTTATAATTAATAAAGTTTGTATAACTCTACCTTGTGAATTCGTGACGCGTTACCGTGCAGTAATTGAGTTTGTAAACGTTTTTCATAAAAAATTATCTTAACTGATTTACATTTTTCAATGCCACGTAGAATATAAAACACGATTTAGCCTTAATGCTTAAACTTGCAGCGTCGACTACCCAGCAAAACCTCTTCAATCGATTTTAACAAATTGTACCGGGGAAGCGAAAAACTGTTATTGACTTAAAATTTACAAAAATAAAAAAAATGTCAAACTTTAACTTATGAGATTTTGGTGAATAAATGACGATATATTAATACATAATTGACTTCAATAAATATACATTTGTTAAACATTCATGAAAATTCAAATGAAAAACAAAGCAAATAATCGACGTGATTAATGAACCAAAGTAACCAAAAACGATTTTGAAATTAACTAAAATTTTGAACATCGTATGGCGTTTGTGTTATCCGATCAATATTTATTATTTGTACATAATTATTATCAACTGTTACGTCTGGATTTCAACGTTTGATGCGCGTAAAAATTACCACTGGAAACAATATATAGTGAAATAACATACAGTCAGTGGAGTGCGCGGGAAGTTAGGGATTATGTCCCTCTTCCCCATCGGCTTTTACAAATAAAGTATTTATTTGGTAATGATTTAATCTTGAAATTATGTATAATTCCAGCAGAGTTACAAGAGAAAAATCTCGATTTTTCGTTTTAAAATTCGATTTTTAAATTCCCATCGTCAAATCGGGTAAATGGGTGTAGCCGAATTAGTTCCCGTTTAAATTTGTGATGGACATGCGTATTGTTCGTGACTACTCAGTGTGATGTTCACTGATTTTCTATTAGGTAAATTTTGGTATTTTATATTCAGAATCTATAGCCATATAGGTACGGATATCCAGATGGATTGACGTTATCTTAATCGATTGTTGTATTTCAGCAACACGCTAGTACGCCAATTTATTACATCGATACCTGTAAAATACCCGCTGCAGTATAATACAAGTCAAAAAGCAAATAGTAATAGTTTCATAAAAGTTTAAAAATGTACTACTACATATTTTAATAGGAATAAATTTGACTCACCTTCATAAGGTACCTTTTTCAAATGGGAACCAAGGCTGGGCATTAACGAGTTAATAAACTTAAAGTTAAGTTAAAAAGTTAAATTAAATTAATAAAGACATTTTTTTTAAACTGTTTCACTTAATTTTTAATTTGGGGAATATAAAACAATTAACTTTTAGAGTTATTAGAGGTTAATGAGTAATTAGAGTAAATAGAGGTAATTTTATATTTAAACTAATTAAGTTGATTTTAATTTTTATTTGTATGCTCATATAAATAAATATATTATAATTATTATTAATATCAATATATTATGAACATTTTAAAATAAAAACTGTTTTAAATGCCTGTTATGTTTTACTGTTGTCTCCGGTTGAAGGTTGTAGATTATTAGATCATTATAGTAGGTAATAGACTATATGTACATTTTTTTATTTTTAATTAACTTAAGTTAAAAAGTTAATGTTAGCTTTTGGTTAACTTTTAACTTAGTTAAATTGATAGATTA